ACACCCCGGTGCCGTTGGCCTTCTTGGCCACAAGGGCACAGTGCTGGCTCGTGGTCATCCTGCTGTCCACAGGACCCCCAGGTCCCTTTCCCCTGTGCTGCATCCAGCAGGTCAGTCCCCAACCCGTACTGGTACCAGGACTTGTTCTTGCCCAGATGCAAAACTCTACACTTGCCCTTGTAATGAAACATAACGTTTCTCCCTGCCCAGCTCACCAGCCTGTCTAGGTCTTGCTGGATGGCAGCACAGCCTTCTGGCATGTCAGCAACTCCTCCCAGTTCTGTGTCATCAGCAAACTTGCTGACTGTGCACTCTATTCCTTCAGCCAATGAATATATGCTGATGAATATATTGCACTGCACCAGTCCCTCTACCAACCCTTGGAGGACTACACTCGACACAGGCCTCCAACTAGACTCTGTCCCATTGACCACAGCTCTCTGGCTTCTTTCCTCAGCCAGTTCACAATCCATCTCACTACCCAATCATCCAGACCGCATTACCTCAGTTTAGTTGTGAGAGCGCTGTGGGAGACAATATCAAATGCTTTACTAAAGTCAAGATAGACCACATCCACTGCTTTACTGCCATCTATCTACCTGGTTATTTCTTCATAAAAGGCTATCAGGTCAGTTAAGCATGATTTCCCCTTGGTGAAGCCATGCTGACTGTCCCTAGGAACCCTCTTATCCTTGATATGCCTAGAGACAGTGCCAAGGATAAGTTGTTCCATCACCTTTCTAGGGATGGAGGTGAGGCTGACTGGTATGTAGTTACTGAATACCAAATTAAATCTAAAGACACAGAATATGATAGAAGTAGAAATTCTCAAAGATCCATCCAACACTTAGATATGTTAGCACATAACTAGAACACTCTGCTTACTAACTTTGAGCTCACATGTATAGGTTTCGGGCAAAACATATTTCTTCCATAATCACTTATTATTGTATTGGTTGAACTTCATCTTCTTCAACTGCAGTCAAATGTACCAGAACTATCTACAAGTGGAAACAAACAGCCTTGAAGATAATTTAGCAGACAACTGAGCAATCACTAATCATTTCAAATTCTGCTTATATTCTCACTTCCACAAGTCCCAGTAAACTGAACGTACCTGTCCAGAAATCAAAACAATTAGAATTCTGAAAGAATAATTACTTCTGGAGACAGTGGCAGTAGAGAGCGTGCATACATTAATTTACTTGTGTCAGATCTCCACGTATCCAGATACAAAATGGTCTGATCAGCTGAATTCAATGCACACTCTATAAAGAAAACACTCCATGCAGATTTTATAGCACCTGTATTACACTGTAGCAGGAAAAGAAACAACAACAAAAAAAAAAAAGCCACCATGAATAGCACATTATAGAAATTCTGAGGCTTCCCAATTTGTGAGGAAAAGGTTTAACGCCCCCAGAACAACCACCTTAATATTTTCTGCCTTCTCTGGACATTTTATGTAACAGTATTCACCTACTGCATGCTATAATTTACAGAGAATGTGCAGATTGACAGAAGGTTGGATTTCTTCTTTAATAGCACTCAGATTGTTTCAGGCTTGAAGAATCAAGAAGTGCAATCTATTTTCATGCAAAATGATCTGCCTGTCCAAAACTCACTGTTCATTCCAATCGTGATAGGTGGCCAGCAGGGAGAGGGAGGTGATCGTCCCCCTCTGCTCGGCTCTTGTGAGGCCCCATCTGCAGCGCTGCGTCCAGGCCTGGGGCCCCCAGCACAAGAAAGATGCAGAGCTCTTGGAACAAGTCCATGGGAGGGCCACTAAGATGAGCAGAGGGCTGGAGCAGCTCTGCTGTGAAGAAAGGCTGAGGGAACTGGGCTTGTTGAGCTTGGAGAAGAGAAGGCTGTGGGAGACCTCATGGTGGCCTTCCAGTGCTTGGAAGGAGCGTAGAAACAGGAGGGGGAACGGCTGTTTGTGAGGGTGGATGGTGATAGGACAAGGGGAATGGTTTTAAACTGAGACAGGGGAGGTTTAGGTTGGATATGAGGAGGAAGTTTTTCCCCCAGAGGGTGGTGAGGCACTGGAACAGGTTGCCCAAGGAGGCTGTGGATGCCCCATCCCTGCAGGCATTCAAGGCCAGGCTGGATGTGGCTCTGGGCAGCCTGGTCTGCTGGTTGGCGACCTACACACAGCAGGGGTTGGAACTGGATGATCATTGAGCTCCTTTTCAACCCAGGCCATTCTATGACTTAATAAAGAGATATGCTCCCTTCCCACAATTCTTACCAGAAATTTAAAAAAGAATAACATACAAAATATCATTATCACAGAATTACTGAATGGTTGAGGTTGGAAAGGAATTCTCCAGACCATCGACAACCCAAACACTCCTTTCAAACTGTTCAATCATGATTCAAGTATCTCCAAGGATAAATATTTCACAGCCTCTCTACAACCTCTTCTAAGGTTTGACAACCCACACAGTGAAAAGTGTTCTTGTGTTCAGACAAAATTTCATGCCAATTTGTACCTCTTACTTCTTACCATTTCACTCAGTAACACTCAGAAGAATTTGAATCCCTATTCTTTACTCCCTCTGTGCAAGCCTTCTCTCCTCCAGACTGAACAGTCCCAGCTCTGTCAGACCATCTTCTTATGAAAGTGTTCGTATGCCTCCAGCTCCATGGCCCTGTGCTGGATGTGAGTCTCCAGTAAGCCCCATCTTCCTTGTACTGGGAGCCCACAGCTGGATACAGCATTCCAGACACTGCCTCATCAGCACTGAGTAGAGAAAGGATCATTTCCCTTGACCTGCTGGCAACATTCTTTCTAAGGCAGTTTAGGTTACTGTTGGTCATCTTTGCAGCACGTTTTCATTTCTGGCTCATATTCAGCTTATTGTCTACCAAGGACCCCAAGATTCCTCTCTGTCGAGCTGCCTGACAGCCAGTTTGTACCCAAAGTGTATTCGTGCATGTTGCTGTGTTTTTGTCATTTTATGTATTTGTCCAAATTCAGTGCATCCACATTTTAAATGAAACATGAAGTTTTGGCCAGTCCATTTGAAGACTAAATGGGAGAAATATTAAGTTGGGATAAGATATGAAACCTCACAAGTCTAAGAGTATCTACTACAGAATAAGTTTTTCCTAAGGATGAAATGCATGATGAGCTTTCACTTCCTGTTCACCACCACTGTATGCTCAGCACTTTATAGCACCTCCTGATACCTTTATTTTAATACCATGCTGTATGAGAAAACAAAACTAGTTGTCATTGTGAAAGCAAAAGCATTAAGCTACAACCAAAAGCAACTACAGCTACTCATGGGGAAGAAATCTGTAATGACTATTAAATAATATAACCTCTCATTTGGGATATGCCTTCTAGGTGCACAAGGCTGGAAACTAGAATCAGAATCACAGAAGTGTAGGGGCTGGAAGGGACCTCCAGAGATTGTCGAGTCCAACCCCCCAAAGGAAAGGTATATAAATGTAAATAATCACCACACAACTGCTTTGTTTCTTACACTCTTCTTATCCTCTGGGTCTCAATAACCATTTACTATTAGCAAAATGTCTTATACAGGTTACACATCTAAACAGGCCCCAAACAGCTGTTCTTTGACCTCAACTGCTTTCGTGATACAATTTGTGACTGAAAATATTTTTCACATTTCAGGTCTTAAAATCATACACTCAATCCAGGGCAAAAGCTAGTTTGCATGCTAATCCACGTAAGCACAACCAAAAATACCTAAGAGTCAGGCTTGATAACACGATATTACTCTAAAATGGAAAAAACATCAAAACATCAAAAATGAACACAGATTACCTTTCCCTCTTCACAGCCTGGGTGCTAAGAACAGAAAAGACTGAAGATAGTATCTGAAATATAAACTAATGATATGCTTAATCTGAATTAACTTCAGAGTGCTGCAAACGCAGAGACTTGTATTTTCTTCTTCATCCCCAGCCATTTGAGTCCAGCACTCAGTACCTGACAGAAACTTAACAACCTCATTAATGCTGAGAGGAGGTAGGCAGCTCATCGGGTGAGCCCAAAGTGATACTGATTAACCAATAAGTCTATCCAAATCACAAGAGAAACAGAAGATGTGATGAAAGCAGTAAGTAGCATGAACGTCTCCATGCATGCATTATTTTTATTTACATACCCAAGACACAATTGCATAAGAATTCTTCTACTAAGTGCCCGTAAGACACCACAGGTCGTTAAATGCTAAGCTGGAATAGGCATCTTGAAGGGTCGTTCCTCCTCCACAGCAACCACGTCCAGTAAAAACAAAAAGTTAATCTAATCCTGCACCTTAAAAACCAGCATTGGACACAAACAAACGAAAAAACAATTTTTTCTTCTTGTGGCATTCAATTCCATCCCAGGTTGGGTTCCTAACCCCTCTTCACGTGGCACTCGCTCTGCTTTGTCACCCGCAGGGCACTGGAGGGGACAGGAATACTCACCAGCAGCACCTCAGACATCTCTTGAACCCGTGCAAGACTACACACGGAAACACCCTGCACACCACAGTGCTACGAATGGCCGTGCAACAGGAGCAGGTCAGTAGCACCGCCCTCTGCAGAGCACGGCAAGCACGGGGAGCAACGGGGGGATAATGGCGGCCTGAGAAGCAGTAAGTTTTCCAGAAATCAAACGGCTTTTTTCTTTTCTTTTTTTGGAGTCCTGTTTACTCGTCACATACTTGAAACTCGCACGGTTGCTCCCGGCCAAAGTTTTCCCAGAGCATCCTGCGGAACACGCGCAGCGCAGCCACCTTCAGTACGGCAGGCTGCGCAAGGCTGCGGTGCGGTGCGGGCGGCGCGTAACAACAGGTGCTGCTCCGCCCGGACAACCCGACAGCCGGCGTTCGACTGCCAAGCCCGCAGCTCTGCCCTCCGCCCGCCAACGCTGCCGCGGAGCGACGCGTGCTCCTCCTCCCCGCGTTCCGCTCAGCCCGCCGGCCCCTTCCCCGACCCCCCCACCCCCACCCCCCGAACGCAATAACCACACTTACCTGTATTGGGCCGCGCCTCCGCCATGCCAACGCTTTCCTCCCACTCCCGCCCCCCACCCAAGGTCCAGCTTCCTGGCGGCCGCGCACGCGCCCCGGCACAGCCAACTCCCCCTCGGCTGACCGGAGCCGAGCGCGCAGCCGCACTGAAAGGGCGGGCACGAGGGGCGGTGCGAGGGGTAAGGGCGGGCCGGGGAGAGAGTTCGAGGGCGGGGCCGGGCGCTCGCCGGAGTCCTCAGGGCGAAGCGGGCCGTGTCTGCCGGCACCGTAATGAACGGAAAGTCGGGAGTTTTGAGACTGACAGGGAGCAAGAAAGGAACCGTAACAGCGACAAAGCAATGCATAGCGCTAGCAGTTAGTCGGCTGCTTGCTCGGCAATGTGCTTCACAGCTGTGTCTCCTCCCTGTACCGGCCGCATTTCAGAGCCTATTGGTCAAGCAGAAGGGAAAGAACAGAATGGTCCTGTGCTTTGGGCTCGGTGTGCAAAAGAGGTGTTTTTTCTGGAGAGTGTAAAGTAGGAATGTAGCAGCTGGCTGTCTATTGCATCCTGCCTGACTACTGCAGGGAGGTGGTAGTGACATGTGCTTCTGATCCTGAATGAGTACTGGAACTTCAGCTTCTGTTGGAAAGCCCACACGTGGATTTCCATAATATAGTCTGTGCTGCAGACAAACCTGGTAATGCTCCAGCTACAATTGCTCCGTAGAACTACATGCTTTGTCATACTGCAGCGTTCAACGTGAACAGAACCGTGGTATGATTCACACCTCTCTGCAGAGGTTTACAGTGTCATGGTTACAGTACGTCTGCAGAGCAGTTCTATACTTCTCCCACTGCAATGGAGCTAGCTACAGAGTCCTTACAGAGCTGCCAATCTTTTCAGATAGCAAGTAACTTCAGAGTACCATAGCAACTGCAGCTCAGAAAAATGGCGCTTCTGAGGAACACTACTGGCACAGTCTGCATTCCATTCTCTGCACCCTTATCACGAAATTCTCTGATCAAAGTTCCATCTGCAGAATAGTTCTTCCCATCCTAGTCATCAAAGTTCATGGCTCCAAAGCTCTTAAAGAAAGTGTGGGCTTCTTTTGCAGAAATTCTAGTCACTGGTATGCAGCCCAGATTCCTGCCACTGCTGCAAAGGAAGCACACAAGCCACTACAGCAACAGCCTTATGAAGATGCTACTACATGCTTGGATTATGAATACAATATTAAGCGTTTTGCTTTATGTAAGTATTTTTCTCATCTAAGCTGGCAAAGAAGAGCATGTGGCAGCAGCAGAGTTAATGCATCCTTTCAGAGGTGATGCATGGTTTTCCTACTGCTGAATAGAAACTTGAGGTAGACCTCTGACTCATGTTCTTCTCTCTCACTGCTATAGAGACATACCCATAACATTCACAGAACTACTACTTTTTTTTTTTTTTTTAATACCACTTTACATGCATACTACAGCACTACCACTTCACTATTCACACTCTTTGCTACCATCAAAAAGCGCAGTTGTGGTATGGATAGCACTATAATAATTTGCACCTATGTGTGCTGCTGCAAAAATGTCAGTTTCTAGGTCAACACATATTTTCCTTGGTTACACCTTTTTGTCTAAAGAGTTCTGTGTTGTTGTTTTCCTTAATTTTGCGCTGGGCAAATTCCATTCACTCATGATAGCCTGACATAATTTTCCAGCATTTCTGTACAGGCATGAGATTTAATTCTTTTCTTTCTTGGCCACAATCGTCTTTTTAGCTTTTCCTAATCTTTTCTCACTTTCGACGCAAGGATAGGAGCAAGGATCTTCCCATTAAAACTTACTTGATTGGTTGAAACATATATATATGTTCTTCTACTTCATCCTCCTTTAATATTTCTCTCTCCTTCCCTGTGCCATTTATTACTTGTATCTTCTCCCAGCAGCTGCTTTTGGCCATCTGACCTGTACGACTGTTAGGAAGCAGCAGGGACACATTGCTCCATATGTAACATACAGGCATTTGGACCTGGTGGGTGCCAACCCTGCTCATGGCAGTGGGGTTGGAACTAGATGATCTTTAAGGTTCCTTCCAACCCATTCTGTGATTGTGGAGCTGAGAGCTGAGAAGTCAGCAAATTCCACAATACAAAAGCAAGAAGAGCAGAATAATTTCAATAATAGCTCATATTCAATTATAGTTCAGGCAACAATCCATATTTCCAGCAAACCTGTAGCAAGAGGGTAGCTCAAACCAGAAATCAAGCCAGATGGTGAAGATCAGACAATTTAGGCACAAGCATACCTGTAACGTAGGTAACCCACAAATACAAAAGGGGAGAGCATGAATTTTAAAGCAGCTCAGGAGAGGAGGGAAAGTCACCCTTTGAGGAGTCTCAAGACCTAACAGTTGATTTATAAGTTAGTGTTGAACCCATAAAGACAAACCTCCAGGATGGTAAGGGAATACAAGATGCCCTAGAGACCCCAACAGCCACAGATCTATATGCTTCAGGGGTGCTGGTGAATAGCATTTCTATCAGGGGGTGAGGGGGAAATGATGTAGAGATGAGGAAGAAGAAGGAAGGGAATCCCTTGACATGATCAGAACAAGATTACCAAGAAGCAGAGATTTTGGTGAGGAAGATGAAATAGGCTCTAGCCACTCGGCTGCAGTATGAGTCTCCTGCATAAATCCAATATCCTCTTGTGCAAAGGATTTACTGGAGTCCCTGCACTTTAAAGAAGCTCTTCTCAGGTGTTTCCAAATGCTTTTGAGGTTATAATCTCCATGGCAAGAAGCAATAGTATGATTCAGTAACATGTATCCTTCCAGTAGGCAAATGAAGAGTTCTAAGGTGCTGTGCACACGGTCAGCTGCAGCACAGAGATGTTCTGTTTCTATTGACTTTTCATTCATTACATAAGACCCTTACAGACAGCCAAAAAAAGTCCACTGATACGTGTGTTCATTAAAAATAAAGAAATGACAATAACAAAAAAACAACCTAAAAATGAAGAAATTTCTTAAAAATAGAGGGGCAGCTAAAATAACTGTGTTTGAGGTCTACAGGGAGACTATAAGGATACCATTTTGGAGAGTGAGCAAATGTTTATCAGGGGAAAAGGAACCTGCGGTGGTTAAGCAGCAGAGACAAGGGAGACTGTTGCTAGGGACTTCTTTTCAGAAGCGTTCCTCCAAAAGATAAATTTGGGTCTAAAATTGAAAATAGAATCCTAACTTCTGACAGATGAAATGTAAACCACGCCATGAGACAGGCCACAAGGGTTTGAGGAACAATTGCATAAGGCCTGCAATCAAATAATAAATCCCTTTTAGAACACTTCAGGCTCTGGAAGTTTACCAGATAGTCTGTACCACCAGGAAAATTGAAAGAAATTTAAAGGAGCATACTGAGAAAAGTAATGTGAAATCTAAAGGAATTACTTACATCTGTTTTCACTACGGCACAGCCTAGATGAAATTCCAAAGACAGACCCTTATTTATGGTGAGACTCAACAGGGGTTCTGTCTTGGAAGGGTCAGTAAGAGAGGTTACTGAACATATAAGCAAAATGAATAGTAGCAAGTAATAGGGACCAGATTTCGTACACTGAAAAATTCTGAAATGATTCTGGGCCAAACTACAAACTTTCATGTACATGCAATTAATAGAAAACTGCTTTGGTAGCAGGAGAATGGGATGTGTTAACTGTAATGTCAATTTTTTAAAAGGATGCCATAAGAAACTCTGGAAAACTACAGGTCCGATGTCTATGGCAGGGAATTTAACAAAAACTCTATGATAGATTAGAATTAGCAAGCATATGCATAATGGGGATGAGTCAAAATGGCTTTTCTTAAAGGAAGAATTGCCTTACAATTCTACTGAAATTAGTAGGAGTCAATAAGTTTGTGGCCAAGAGAGATAAAATTGAACATGGATTTTCAGAAGGTATTTCATAAGGTCATTAATTAAAAGCTCTTAAAAATTACACTGCCAGGAAACAAATAACTGCAGAGGTAAATAACTGGTTAAAAGGCAGGAAATAAGAAAGTAGGAGTCCATAGTCCATTTTCATGATAAAAGGGATTCAAGAGTAAAGACCCATATGGATAATTCTGGAACCTAATTGTGCAACACATTTATCAAGGATCTGGAAGCAGTGTCAAAGTATGTTCGTGGTATGATGCTTTTTAGAGAGGTGTAGGCAGGCTGAGGAGAACTACAATCAGAAAAGTCTTGGGCAAAAAATGGAAGATAGAATCCAGGAAAGCTAAATGTAAAGGAGTGCATATGGGAAGAAACAGTCCTAGCTTCACATTTAAAATAGAACAGCCCTCAGTTATTGCAACAGTTATTACAGATAGTTGCATGCAAATATCTTCTTTGTGAAATATATCTTCTTTTTCTGTGAAAAAATATCATCTCTGTAGTGTGAAAGAAAGCACTTGTAAGAAAGGAGAAAAAGATGAAACAGAGAAAACATCAAGACAGTCTATAAATTGATAAATAGTGCACAAACGTGGTTTCACCCTACATCTCAAAAGAAAAATGGGGAAATGTTCAAGGAAGGGCAAGAAAAAGAGAATTAAAAGAATGCAATGGCTTCTGTACACCAAATGACTTACATAAACAAGTCTTCTGAAAAAGAAAGTGTATGTAAGTGGGGATGTAACAGAGACCTGTAACTTGTAGAGCAGCACAAAGGGAGGAAAAAAACTAAGGACTGAGCCTATCATCTTCTGACAGTTGATGTCAAATAAAGGATTGTTTGCAGTATAGTTGTCTAGGCAGGACTGGATAAAGTAAAATGTCAAGTTTGTACTGCACTTGGTCTGAACAAATATGAGGGCCTTGGTGATTCAAACAAATAAGAAACTGAATGAAAGTATACTGGTGGAGTGTTACATTAGTATGCTAATATCACATGATATTAGTAATAGAATCACTATTCATCTTCAGAAGATCATAGAATCACAGAATGGCCTGGGTTGCAAAGGAGTACAATGCTCACCCAGTTCCAACCCCTGCTGTGTGCAGGTCACCAACCAGCAGCCCAGGCTGCCCAGAGCCACATCCAGCCTGGCCTTGGATGCCTGCAGGGATGGGGCATCCACAGCCTCCTTGGGCAACCTGTTCCAGTGCCTCACCACCTCTGGGGGGAAAACTTCCTCCTAATATCCAACCCAAACCTCCCGTCTCAGTTTAAAACCATTCCCCTTGTCCTATCACTGTCCACCCTCACAAACAGCCATTCCCCCTCCTGTTTCTATGCTCCCTCCAAGCACTGGAAGGCCACCATGAGGTCTCCCACAGCCTTCTCTTCTCCAAGCTCAACAAGCCCAGTTCCCCCAGCCTTTCCTCACACAGAGCTGCTCCAGCCCTCTGCTCATCTCAGTGCCTCCTCTGGCCCCGCTCCCAGAGCTCCACGTCCTTCCTGTGCTGGGGGCCCCAGGCCTGGACGCAGCGCTGCAGATGGGGCCTCACAAGAGCCGAGCAGAGGGGGACGATCACCTCCCTCTCCCTGCTGGCCGCCCCTTTTTCATGCAGCCCAGAACACAGCTGGCCTTCCGGGCTGCAGGCGCACACTGCTGCCTCATGGCCAGCTTCTCGTCCACCAGGACCCCAAGTCCTTCTGCGCAGGGCTGCTCTCAAGGAGATCTGCCCCCAGTCTGTATCAATACCTGGGATTGCCCCAGCACCTTGCACTTGGCCCTGTTGAATCTCATTAGGTTTTCACGGGCCCACTTCTCCATCCTGCCCAGGTCCCTCTGGATGCTTCCCTTCCCTCCAATGCATCGACTGCACCGCTCAGCTTGGTGCCATCTGCAGACTTGCTGAGGCTGCACTCGATGCCATCGTCTGTCACTGATGAAGATGTTGAAGAGCACCGGTCCCAAGACCGACCCCAGAGGGACACCGCTGGTGACCGGCCTCCACCCTGACACAGAACGATTGATCACAACCTTTTGGCTGCATCCAGCCAGCCAGTTCCTAATCCATCCAACTGTCCATCCTTTAAATCCACACCTCTCCAGTCGAGAGATATGGATGTGGTGGGATCATGTCAAAGGCTTTGCAGAAGTCCAGGAAGATACATCCATCACCCTTCCCTTGTCCACCAAAGCCATCATAGAAGGCCATCAGATTGATCAGGCAAGATCTGCCCCTGGTGAACTGATGCTGGCTGTCTCAGACCACCTCCTTGTTTTGTATGTGCCTTAACGTAGCTTCTAGGAGGATCTGCTCCAAGATCTTCCCAGGTACAGAGGTGAGGCTCACTGGCCTGTAGTTCCCCAAGTCTTCCTTTCTCCCTTTCTTAAAAATGGGAGTAATATTTCCTATTTTCCAGTCACCAGGGACTTCACCTGACAGCCACAATTTTTCAAATATGATGGAGAGTGGCTCATCAATCACATCAGACATCTCTCTCAGAACCCTAGAATGGATATCATCTGGCCCCATGGGCTTAAATAAATTCAGTTGTGTGAGGAGGTCTCAGACATGTTCCACTGTTACAGTGGGATGGAATCTGCTCCCCACACCCTCACCTAGAGGTTCAGAGTCCTGGCAGACTCAGTAAGCCTGACCACCCGTGAAGACTGAGGCAAAGCACTCATTGAGTACCTCAGCCTTTTCTGTTCTGAGGAAGCCAGCTCTCCATTACCTTTTATGAGAGGGGAACACTCCTCTTAGCCAGTCTCTTCCTGCCTATGTACTTGTAGAACCCCTTTCTTGTTATCTTTCACATCCCTTGCCAAGTTCAGCTCCATCTGTGCTTTGGCTTTCCTGATCCTGCAGACAACAGTCCTGTATTCCTCCCAGGATACACAACCCTGCTTCCATTTCCTGTACATTTCCCTCTTTTCCCTCAGTTTAAGCTGCAGATCCTTGCACAGCCATGCTGATCGCCTGCCTCCCCTGCTCGACTTCTTCTGCTGGGGGATAGAGAGCTGTTGCGCTCTCAGAAGGGTGTCCTTAAAGAGCTGCCAGCTCTGTACCTGTGTCCTTAATGTCAGTTTCCCAGGTGATCCCATCCAGCAATTCCTTGAGAAGCCAAAAGTTTGCTTTCCTGATGCACAGGGTCCTAACTCCGCTTTTTGCCAGAGTTCTTCAAGATCACAAACTCCACCAAGGCATGGTCACTACAGCCCAGGCTGCCTCCAGTCTTAACATCCCTAATGCTCTCCTCTGCATTAGCGAGCACCAGGTCGAGCAAGGCTGCACCATGGGTTGGCCCATCTAATACCTGGACTAGGAAGGTCTAAGCATGGACACACAGAAAAGTTCTTCAGAAGAAGAACTTTTTCAGAAGAAGAAGAGTGCTATGTGCTGCATCTGGAATGGAGTAATGCTGGACACAGGTGCAGAATGGAAAATGAGTATGCAGCGTGTTAAACTTAACCCAGGAGTAATGTTGTATAATGCGTATGAGTAATGTTGTTCATAATGCCACCACCTCCGTAGAAGAAGCTCGTGCTAAGATGAAAAAAATTGTCAGACTTCTGAACTGTCCCAACCACTCTAACCAAAAGACTGGTTCAAGGGACTCTAACCTAGATGCTGGTTTACCACTTTTTTACAGTCCTTGGGACTTATCAGGTATGGAAAATGGCTGGCACAAATTGGACTAACCTTGTAAATTGGATTGGTATTTTTGATGATTAGCATAACTATTTTTAGATATATGATCACTTTGCTTCTTTCTTCTGTCTCTTCTGTCTTTATTTCTTCTGTTATGTTCGTGTCACTACTCTTGAACTTTAGACCCTTATGTCTGCTATTTGTTGTTTGAACCAGAAGGTGGTGTCTGAGACTAATGAGGAACTTGGCCTGTGCTGATTCAAACAACATGAGCAGAAAGGTCTGAAAAAGGAGAGCCAGGAGAAGGATGGATGGAGACCTGCAGACGCAGAGCAGCAACCAGCTTTTCTCTGCTTCCTCTTGCAGACAGCATCTACTTTCTGTCATGGACAGCATCTGTTTCCTCTTATGACTAAAAACATCAGCTGATTAAAAACATCAGTTTGAGTAATTCTACTGGTTGAAAGCTATTGGTTTGAGCAGCTCACTGAGGAGGGATCACTGAATCTTCTGGAATCAGCTAGCTGCACACACACAAGGGAGTTTCCATCCCAAGGATGTTCCTGGACAAACTGAACTATATACAAGTGAGCACACATTTACCTTTCATGATCCGCCACCAAAGCTCCTCAATTCAAGACAACGCTGGATCCAAGTAATGGTGAAACCTTGTTTTTCTCTCTCCCTCTCTCTTCTCTATATAGTTGCTGAATTGTGTGATTATTCTTGCTTGCAAAACTGCAATAGTTTGTAAATGTTCCAAATAGTATACGTATAGTATTATGGACTAGAAAGCATACTGTAGGGCTGTTCTGTTTGGATAAGAGACCCTCAGCAACAGAAAAAAAGACTTAACAAACATCAAAGAAGCCAGGGCCTCTACGCAAGGCTTGCCTTGCTCTGTGGGTAGGCTGGGATGCAACAGGCAGGCATCAAGATACTCCCTCTGTCCTCCTTCTCTATGCAAGAGAAGCAGATGTCCAGAAACAACGACCAAGTGTTGAATGAGCAGATGTGAGAACTTAACTAATTAGCGATATATGCTTAGCTAGCAACAATTTATGTTTATCCAGCATCTGTATGTTTACTTGAGTGTCGGGAAGATTGTGATCCTGAAGTACTCAGCCAACGAGGAACCAGAGGAGAAAGAGATAAGCATTAGGCAATAGGGCATAAAAGATGGAACGCTGTTTTCTGCGTGCTCTCCTGCTTGCAGGAGGCCCAACATTGCAATTGCGAATAAAATCTGCTTTATCAGAGATACTGTCCTGATAAATTATTGGTTATTTCCAACACTGGTGATCCAGTAGTCTGATGTGGCTGCCTGTACACCAATTCATATGGACTGACGTGCTGCCCGCCTCGAGGCTAGACTCCGGATCTCAACAAGACATAAGGTAAAGCCCGAGTCCAGTGCATAGACTTATATTTTGCTCAGCAGCGTTTTAAGCGTTTGAATCATTCTTTCCACTTTCCCACCTACACCGGGGTCCGTAAGCGGGGCGCAGCTTCCACGCAAGCCTACGACGCACGACACCCCCAGCCATTCAGCTCCTCCTTCGAGCCCAAACAGCCTCTCCACAGCGGCGCCTGCACTCGCGCCCGAACGGCGGCGGCGCCGCGCAGGAACGGGCATACCGACAAAGCAAAACAGCACCGTTCCTCAGCCGGCGCCGAGCCGCACGCCCCGTTCGCAGCACGGCACGCTGGGTCTTTCCGCCGCCAGCAGTCAGGCAGCGGCGCAGCCACGCTCGGGTCCTGTCTGTGCCGGCGGCGCGCTGTGTGACGCCGTGCCCTCGTCGCCGGCGGAGCTGCGCGTAGGAGGCGTGCGCGGGGCGCGGCGGGGACTATGATGCCTGGGGAGACGCAGCCGCCGCCCGCGGGGACCGCTGCCGCCGTGCCCTGCAAGAACTGCGCCGTTCTCCAGCAGGTAGCGGTGGCCGCGTCGTGCCGGAGTGCCCGGGCGGGGTTTTTGAGCGGTTTGAGCGGGCCGGGCCGTTGTGGGGTGAGGAACGCTGGGTTCCGCGTCCCTCCTCCCGGTGCTACGTGAGCTCGGACGGTGAATGTGGCGTGCGGGGTCTGGGCAGGTAGCAGCAGAGCCGAGCCTTATGTGCTCGAAATGCGGCGTTTGGTAGAAAAGTGTCTCCCGTCGGTGCAATTAAACCGCGGTTTGGCTAGAGACCGATGAGTTTGTAGTATCCCTTTGAGGTTGCTTCGATGCAGTGGAAGAAAGATGCTTGCCTTTGCGAGAACGTTACGCGGTATAACGCTTGGAACAAGCTTTGTTTGCCCTCTAAACGAGAGCTCGCAGAGTGGGAAAGATCATCAGGAGCACCCAGAACTGACGTGAATTATATATACATGGGCTATCTGTAGCCTGAAAAGAGCTGGCCAGTGTTTATTCAAACATCTTTCCTAAGTCTAGTTTGATTTTGAGAGAGCAATTATGATGAATTTTGTACGTATTCTCCTGTACTTGCAAAGCTGAGAGAACTTTTTCCCTGTCCTGAGCGTACACGTTGTCATGTGGAATCTGCATTCTTAACACGTATTTGTATGCATACCTTAACACAAATATTTATTCAGTAAATAAGCAGGCTGTTTTATAAGATAAAATTTAAAAAGGCAGATTATTTTACAATGTAAAACATTCCTAGTCAGATTAGGAGCCATTTACAGTGCTTGGTACCATTTTGGGTGAAACATGTTGACCACCTTGATGCTCTTCCTTACAGAATATAAATGAATATGTAGCTGCGTTAGTTGCACTGAAGCAAAAAATGATTCATGGCGAGTAAGTACAATTGCACAAGTGTGCATTCTGTGTATATTTGCTATTCTTAACTAATTAATAGACTGGACATGAGCTTTGGGATGTAGATGTTCACTTAATGCACAAAAGTAAACTCTCAAAGTAGAAGAAACTTCTTTAGTGACAAATCTTAAATCTAGATTTAAAGGCTTCATTATAACTTAAAATGTCTTTGTGTGAAAATAAAAACAGGGATGTTTTGTGTGGTTTTATTATTCTGAATAGGTAGCTAGCAGAAGCAGCTCTTTGAAGAGATTTACTGATTTACTTCTTTTTATAGATTGCTAACCATGTGTTTGAACAGAAAGCTGAGCACAGATGTATTAAAACCTTTCCAGGAAAACTTCATCCCAGCATTAAGATGTGAAATGCTGCTGGAGTTAAATACCAGAATATGCCGTGATGCTGTAAAATGGTTAGACACTAATATTCCAAAATCTTCTTATAATTTGCTTTATCTTTTGGGACCATTTCTACCACTTTTCAACAACCATCCGCATAAAATTCTATGAAAGAAAGTATTGTGGTATGTTTTGTGATGCTCCATACCATGGCCAGATACACTTGCTACATCTCCTAATTACAGTGGTTTGTTTCTTATGTACTGTTCTCCAAATACGTGTCAATCAGCCTTTAGCTAATCTAGTTTCCAGAAGAATTTAGGAGAGCCCTGCTGCTTTACTTTGAGACCCTCTTCTACTAAACTCCTTTACTCTGTGCTTCCATAGAGCACTTTTCCTATGTCCAGACTTTGTGTCCTCCTTCCTCTGACCTGTGCACTCATTTCCTCTGTGAATTACCTCTGCTCTATCTACTTGCAATTCAGCCCTTTATTTTTTGTCTGACTTGACAAGTCTTTACCTGCTGCAGGAGAAGGTAATGGAGGCCTTTCTGGAGTATCTATCACTGAACTTCTCACTTTTGCCCTTTCTTCTCTCCATTCATAAGACTTAAATTTGAAGAAAGGAGGAAATAGCTCTTGTTGATGCCATCCCTTGGCTCACTGGTCAGAGCAGCGTTTACATGCTTAAGGTTTCTAGGATAATAATATAAAGATTAAGGCCATAGAGTTGTCTGGACTATTTTTCTTCCATTTGTGTTTTCTTTCCTTGGAAGGTATTAAGTTTGGAAACTAGGGCTTAACTTTGCAATAAACTCATAGATACACACATACTGCTTACCCAAATGCTATGTTTTCTATTTTTTTACAAAAGCAGCAAATAGTTATAAGTAAGTTCCTGTAGCTATTAGTTTAGTTGTATTTTCTTTTCATTTTGTGGAAGTCTGGTTTGAGATTTGAAAGGCTTAATGAAACAAAAGTATTGACTTCTATCAGAAAATGGGAACTAATCACCTATTTTCTGCATTTATCTGTAAAGCAAAAGGAAAAGCATCTTAGGATGTATTGGTTAAAATCTGTTTAGAAAATGAGTAATGTAATTGGCTTTTGTGAATAATATTTTTATCTTTCTCTTGCAGCCGTTTGCTGACGGAGTATCAACAGAAATGCACTGATATCCTTTGTGTTTCTATTAGTGCTCTCACAGAAGTGGTACATCAGCGTTCCTCATGAGGGCCTGAGGCTTTTTATTTAAGGCTTAAGTTAAGGGAGTGTGCCGTTCTGTAGTAAAGAACAGACTGGTTGGACTTAAAAATAAAGGGGGCTTCAAAACTAAACATCTATGTGTCTAATATACACTTTAACAGGAACTACTTCAAATCTGCATTGCTGAGAATTATTTTGTCAAAGAAAAGCTCTGCTTATTCACTTCAAACACATTGAAATGTCTCAGTTAAACTTGCAAAATGAAGTGTTTGCTTGTTGGTTGGAAGTCATTAGATTTTTTCTGCAAGTGGTGATTGGACTGAAATATACTTCAGGAAGTAGAATAAGTTATCTTAAATGTCTACCTTAACGAGAGATTACAGCTTCAATTTGCTGAAAGGTAAGCTTGATCTGATTGACTAGTTTTAAAAGTACCTGTGTGTTTTTGAAATCTTTTATAATTTAAATTACATTTCCTGTTGCAGGGAGATCTCTGCTCTACGTTGTCAAGTGGAACAGATGCTACAGAAAATCCTGCCTTTGGAAAAGGATCAGAAAGAGTTGGGTTCCTTAAAAGCAGAGTTGGAAGAGAAAAAGGTGTGCTTTTAGGTTTAAATAACTTGCACTTAGTCTGTTGAAAGAAGCAAACATTTAATACTTATCTTAGTGACTTGAGTTATAATGAGCCCAATTATTGCCAGATTGTTGGGACAAGCAGTGCTGGTTCTAGGTGAAATCAAATAAATGACAGCAAGTTTGAGATAGGAACTACCTGAACTTTTGCTCTATGATTTTTTTTTTAATCATATTATTTGGTTATTATTATTTAGGAAAGGAGGAGTTATATTCGAATTCCTTTGCTTTTCTGTTCTATAGATTACTAATCTAACTAGATTACTGAATTCTTCATAACCTGTACTAAAAAGGTGCAAAGAGAGTCTGTCTGAACTAACTAGTATTTTGTTTCTTTTGCAGTTTTGAATGTATGCTTCTACATTATTAGCTACTAGGTTTTATTCCTAATTTCTCTCCTGCCTCTTACCTAATTCTTCTGCAGAAGAAAATTTGACTGTTCAAATCCTCAAAGTATGCTTATTTACTAAAGAATCACAGAATTGCTCAGGTTGGAGGAGACCTTAAAGATCACCGAGTCCAACCACAACCTAACCATACCACCCTAACTCCATCAACCCACCACTAAATCATGTCTCTGAGCACCACATCCAAATGGTTTTTAAACACATCCAGGGATGGTGACTCAACCACCTCCCTGGGGAGCCAAGTCCAGTGCTTAACAACCCTTTCTGTAAATAACTGTTTCCTGATATCCAACCTAAACTTACCCTGGCACTTCTTCTGGGCTTGAAGGACGTGGTCCTTAAGTACTGACCGACTTTCTTGGGCCCCTCTTCCTTCCAGGGCTTTCTCCCATGTCACCCTCCCATGCAGTTCCCTCAAGAGTTCAAAGTCTGTTTTCCTGCAGTCCAGAGTAGTAAGGTTGCTATACACCTTCTTTGACACCCTAAGAATTTTGAACTCCATCAGGTTGTGGTCACTGCAACCAAATCTGCCCTTGTGCTTTGCGTTACTCACCAGCCTCTCCTTGTTGGTGAAGATGAGGTCCAGCATAGCACCTTTTCTTGTGGATTCCTGTACCACTAGGAAGAGGAAGTTATCACCGATGCATTCCAGGAACCTCTATGATTTCTGGTGCCCTGTTGTGTTATTCCTCCAACAGACATCAGGGTGGTTGAAGTTCCCTCTGAGGACCATGTTTTGTGAATGCGAAGCTCTCTTATTTGTTTATAGAGGGCTTTATCCACTTGGTCTTCCTGATCAGGCACTCTGTAGCAGACCCTCACTGTGATGTCTCCTTCCCCTGCCTCCCCTTTAACCGGAACCTCTAAGCTCTCTGTCAGCTCCTCATACATTCCTGGGTGGAGCTCCATGGACTCCAGGTGGTCACTGATGTAGAGGACATCACCCTCTCCTCTTCTCCCCTGCCTGTCTTTCCTAAAGAGTTTATACCTATCTATTCCTAGTTTCCTGTTGTAAGAGTCATTTCACTACATCTCAGTGATGCTAAAGACATCGTAGCCCTGTGGGCACGCACGTATCTGCATCTCCTCTGACTCGTTCCCTGTGCTCAAGTGCCTGTGCTCCATAACTGATATCCTGATTGCTTTTCCTGAGTGCGTGCCAGGTTGTATACATGCTGTATATTAGCTTTGCTCTCAACTGCAGCTTTGAGTTCCTATTCAGATTTTCAGACCTTGGAAATGTATGCTCAGAAGATAGATTCTTTTTTGTTGTAACTTTTGCTTTTTAAGTGCAAGAGAGACCTTTCAATGTGCTTCTTTTCTTATTGAATGTACTTTTTTGTCTATGCAACAGTTCTCACTAGAATAGCTAAAATGTCTGCTATGTTTTTACTTTTTTCCTCACATCCCCACCCTCCCCACACCCAGGAAGGACATGCTTTAATTATGTTTTTTTTTTCCCACAGAGTTCTCTCAAGATTTATCAGGAGAGCCAACTGGAATGTGTTAGACTTAAAGAAGAAATAGTTAGAAGTGATGCTGTGTGAGTGATATTTCTGCTTTTTTTTTTTTTTTCCACCTTTTTTCTTTTCTGCTCATTCTTCCAGAGCTTGATCTTGTACCTTACCTACTTACACTTTTCATTTTGCTGACATGTAGTTAGCTTGTAGTTTCATAGAACAGGGAGTGGATGGGAGAGTTGTCTTAAACTGTGTAGCAAACTCTCTAAAAAGTAATGTTAGATTACTTAGTATTCTGTTTTGAAGTGGCTTCTGGTGGTTGTTAGTGAATGATTTTAAGAGCAACGTGAAGTTGGAGAAGAAAGTCTAATTTCTCTGCTTTAAGTGGTTCTTCTTGTTTTGTTTTGTTTTTCTTATTGCCTTCCATTTTCCTTGTGTTGATGAGTATCTGGGCCCAATGCATAAATGATATTATCAGTGTAATTTGCTTTTATAAACAGTTATTGTAATGTTGACTTTTAAGAAAGCAATTGAGCAGATGCTGACCTGACTGTCATGGTTGGAAATGAACAAAAAGGATATGGCCCCAAAAAACAGAGAAGCTGTTTTTGCTCACGTAGTACATGACACTGTGAAACACTGCCTTGGTAATTCCCATCATTTGTTCTTAAAGTAACCAGTCACTCACAGGCTTCCTCAGCTGGAGCTTTTGCGTTTATCATCTTTGTGAAGAATTTGTCTTTTGCTTTTTAACTCTTATACTCCTAGCATTAAATCAGTTGTGGCTGGGAACAGTGATTTGTCAGTGTTGTGTGGAAAGCTTCTGATGATCTCAAAAAGGAATCACCTTGTGTACAGCTAGATGTTGTGAGTTTGTAATTGTAATTTTCTTCCATGTGCATCACTTTGCATTTATCAACACTAATGCTTGTTGTCTAATTATAAAAAACTGTTTTGCTTTTTTTTTCTTGCCAGCTTTTATTTCTGATATATACAGCACACATACCAGTGGGACTTTACTGGCTATTCCCTTCTTTGTAAACTAGTGTTAATAAAAAATTTAGGGAAGACATTCTCCCTCCTTATTTTTTTTTCCTTTTTCTTTATTTTTTTATGCTTATTTTATAGCACTACTGAGGCAGGCCATACTTGGAGCAGTTTGTTCTGTGCTCCCCAGTGCAATACAGACATGAGCATGCTGGAAAGAGTTCCAGTGAATATCCATAGAGGCAATTAAGGGACTGGCAGTTTTTCTCCTATGAAATACCCTTGTACCTTTGTGTGCCTTGAGAAACACATGGATAATCACAAGCACAACAGTGTGCTGTAGCAGACTGATAGTGTTGTCACTTGCTGTTTTCACTTCTGCCAGACTGCTCTTCTTTTGCGTATAAGTTCTTTGTCCTGTAAGATTGAAGGAATGTGTAGCCTCCTATCCAAGCAGCAGGGAGTAGCAACACCACTGCTGCAATGCCTCAGGAGAAAAGTCATTAATATGCTGGCATAAATACACTTTTATGTCCTGTCCCCTGTTTGTCTTTCCTATCTTCAGGAAGGGCAAGAAGGAGGACCCAGGGAAATACAGGCTTCTCACATCAATTGCTAGAAAGATAGTGAACCTACTACTCCTGGAAATCATTTCCAGGCATGTGAAGGATGAGAAAATCATTGGGATTAGTCACCATGGATTCACTAAGGGGAACAAGGAGAACACAAAGCATTGTTCCAAGTGAAATGTGGGAAGGCTACTCTGAAAAAGTTAAGCAGCTGATAGCCCAGCTGAAATGCCCTTACACCAATGCATGCAGACTGGGAGACAAGTTGGAGGAGTTTGGTATCATGGTGCAGTTAGAAAAGTATGATCTTGATGCTATAATGGAAACATAGTGGGATAAATGGCAGAAGTGAAACAGTGCAGTTGAGGACTACAAGCTTTTTAGATGAGATAGCAGGGCAGAAGGGGCAGTGGTGGTGTTCTATTATGTTGCTATATTAACAAAGGGATGGATTGCAAAGTCTTGCTTCTGAGCAACAGCAACAGAGAAGTTAGGAGCTTGTGGGTGAAAATTAAGGAATGGATCAACAAAAGATGTCTGGTAGGCAGCGTCTTCTACAGGCTACCTGATGAAGGAGAGTCTGTTGACTAGGACTTCTTGTTTCAGCTGCACTGCACTTGCAGGTTCTCATCCTGATGGGGCATTTCAACTTCAACCATCTAGATGTTTGCTGGGAAAGCAACACAGTCAGCTGTAAGCAATCCAGAAGACTCCTGGGATGCACTGAAGAGAACTTCTATTTATTGATTGATTGATTGATTTATTCTTTTTTAAAGTATGTTACTAGAGAGATGATAGCAGTGTCACTGATAAACTCACCTCTGGTCTGAAATGGATCTGTTTTGGAGCTGATTGGAACTACTCTTTTCTCAAGGAGGCTTCCCCACCCTGCTTCCAAAAACCTTACCAGCCAAGACCCCGCACAGCACTGTGTGCACAGAAGTGCAGAAAACAGAAGCCAGTTTTCTTAGAATGCTTTTTTTTGCTGAAAGCTTTAGCTGAATGTATATTTATATGCAGAGATTAGTGGACTGGCTCTCTTAAGTAAACTGTTGCTGTAACAGATAAATCTGTTGATCTGGGAATGTCAGCAGCATGTCACTGATTTAAGCTTTCAAATTCAGGGACACAGGCCTGAAGTCTGTGAAGTCATTTCTCTGAAATGTCTGGATTTATTTTCTGGTAATTTTTCACGCAATGTAATTGTATACAGAAATTATATATTAATGCTTTCTTTTTAACAGGAGAAAGAAACTGGAAGCAAAAGTGAAAAAACTTGAAGGTAACTGTTTACACTGTGTTACCAGTGCTGTTGTCCTCTTACATCTTTTAATTCTTTTGGTACCCAGAGAGGTAATTGGAAAAGTTAAAGAAAAACTCTGTAATTCTGAAGTCCCAGAGAGCAAGGCGAGTGTGATGCTCAGCCTCTGAATCACATCTGCCATTCTGCAGAACGTTTTCAGTAGGTTATTGTAGGCTCATGACCTAAACTAAGTTATAAGGGAACTTGAAAACCGTGAAGAATAGAGGCTGACCAGCCTGTCCAGGCAATCTGATCCACTACCTGACAGCCCTTGTCGTTAAGAATCTTTTTCTTGTATTCAGTTAGAACCTCTTATTTCCTTCCACTTAACAGACTGGTTCCATTGTCTTGATATGGTGTAGGTATAGAAAAGCTGCTCTTAACTCCCTTCAGAACTTTTTCTAGTCAAGCTAACCAAGTCAAGTTCCTTGAAGTTCCTGGAGATGACAGGGCTTGTGCTCCAGCACACCAAGTAATCTTGACAGGATTCATCTAGTCATGTTTATATTCATATTTCAATGTATAGTGGCCCTGGCACTTTTTTTTTAAATTTAAAATGTTCTGGCAATTTGATTGTTGCTTTTTGTTGTTGTATTTTTTTAAAAGCACTTACCTCATGGCAGTCTTTCCCTTCCCCATATTCTCCGTTCATTATTCTTTTTGCTAGTGGAGAGTGGATATGCTTAAAGCATTGATGAACTGTCAGTTTGCAGGGCAAACATTTTCCTGTGTGGCATACATGGGTACAGTTTGAATTTCCATATACGTTAAAACATTAAGTTTTTTAGCTAGCCACTACAAACTGAATGACTTGTATCTTAATTTTAGAAACCCTCCAAATCCTGATGTAAAATATAGTTACATTATGTTCATTTTGATTAATGTTTTAGAGTTCTTCTAGAATGGCAGGATGTTTTTTAAATCCTTCAACCCCAAATGCAAATTCTGGGAGAGCTAGAACAAAATACTGTGAGGAAGTTTGTATTTTTTCCAGTTTGATTTGTTCTTTTTGTATTTGTTACATGTCCCACTCTCCATCCTTTAGGTTGGTATCTTTTGTCAATCCAGTTTTCTTTCTTTCCCTCTAATCACTTTTGTTGGACTGCCATCTGAGCTGCCTTTCAGTGTGCTTGCTTTTGATCTGCTGTGTTCTGTGACCTCATCTGATCAGAAGACAAGTTCCATCTGTCTCTGCTCTCTGTATATAAATCATTAAGCTGGTATTTCACCAAGCTTTCAAGCATCTCTCTTCCTTGTGGATTTCCCCAGGAACCTCAAATTCAGTCCCCATTTACCTGCCATGCAACTGTTTATTTCTTCCCTTCTGCATTCTCTCAAGGTTTATGCTGGACTCTGAGAGTTACAGCATTCTTATCTACATCTATCTGCACTGTCTGTGGTAATGCTTATCTACATTTTTCTAATGCAGTTGGCTATAGTGTTTTTACCCTTAAGCTAGAACCTCAGTTCTAAATTACAGAATGAAGCACACAAAGGGCACTGCACCTCATTCTTATTTTTTTTTCCCTTTAATATTAGATGTGCAGACAAAGCATACTCACGTGCATGAATAGTACGTTAAGTTTGAAGTATTAATGTGCTAAAATATAACTTGGGTAGATTTTTATTTCACACTATCTACTTTTTCTCATAATGTGATTTGCAAATTGCTAACTTGTATAAATTAAATTAGTTACCTCTTTTTATTTCTAACTTGAATTTTGATTTTGTTTTTTGAAGAGGCTGCCACAAAACATACACAAGACTTCAAACAACTGAAAATTGAGAAGAAAAAACTTGAGAAAGAGTTAAAGAAGGCACAGGTAAAACTTTCCTGTTTGATAAACTAGACTGAGTTTTCTGGGAAAAAAAATAAGGAAATTATTTGTAATACAGGTATTGAAATAGTGTAATGACATTTGGGGATAATCAGTGGATAAACATAGCAGTTTTATGAGATTGTAAATTTTCAAACTGAAGTATCATGTTTGAAGTGTAGATTTAGATTTCAGTTTAATTTAGAGCGGATTCTCTGCAGACAGTGTATTGCATGAATAATTAATATTTAATTTTTACAGGGAAAACTTGATGGTGTACCTAAAGAGAAGTGCAGGAAGGGTATGTACTCAGCTTTTATGACCTTCAGATTTGTGTGGTAATGTTTCATTTGAACGCTTCCTTTTTTCCCTGCTTTTCAGCAGTTAAACATGCAGAGACCCAGAGTACAAATGAAGTTCTTGCAGCAGATATAGATAAAGGTAAGATTTTTTTCAAGATCTTTCTCTGTGCAGACCAAACCATTATGAATATTACGTCTTACAGGCATTTGATTATTTTCCTTCCTGAATTTACTTTTTTTTTTTTTTTTTTTTTTTTGTGAGAGCATTTGGAGAGCTTGAGATGGCACATTGGCAAGAGAGCAACAGAATTGTTCTAAGAGCAGATGTTGTTGACTGATAGAAATATGTTATATTGATGTGGGAATAATGTAATAGATGACAACTGTCTTCAGTTTTGCAATAAGGAAGATATTTGTTAAAATGACTACCTCTACTCTTGCAGAGTGTGGCAGATTGATTTGCAATTATAAAACAAAGCAAGCAATAAGAAAAATAGAAACACTTCTGTTATTTTTGAAAATCAAACAGATTGTGAAGGAAGTATGCATAGCAAAAGAGACAAGATAGGAGTGCAGTCTGTAACCATGTGAGGCTCCCTGCTTAATTAAAGCAGAAATCCACAATAAACAGTTGTCTTATCCAACTGATGTATTTCACGTTTTTGTTTTTTTTCTAATAATCTACAATATTTCCTACAAATTATCCAATCATAACTTCAAAATGAAGCTAACGCATTGAAAACTTCCTCTAAAGAACTGAGGATAGAAGAGGCTTAACTTGAAGCTGCTACATTTTTTTCACTTCTAAAAATCCTAGCTTTGATTTTTTTTTTTTTTTTTAAACTGTCTAGAAGGCAATTTTCAGGCAAAAGAAGAAGTTCTATTTTCTATTTCCTGCTTTGCAGTACTTGTATATGAAATTTGTTGGCAAAATTAAACTATTGTGAAAAAGACATTGTCAATGCTTATGGGTGTTGGTAGGTTTTTGTTTCCTCTTGGATTGAATTAACTTAGTATCCAATCTCATCATTTAATTTTTCATTTAGTTTTCTCTTTCTTTAAGGTAAATTGCCCATTTTTCTTAATCTTTTTGTATATATTGTTATAGGTATGTCTGTTTGGTGTAAGAACAGAGAAACAAGTTCTTGGTTCTCCAAGCTAATTTTCATTACTTTACAAAAATATTTCCTTTAACAGAAAAAATAAAATTCTTGTTGGAAGAACTCTGGATGTGCATTGACAGTGCAAAAGAGAAAGGAGAGAAGCAGGAAAATGATCCCATCTTGGGTGAGATGACATATGAAGTCTTGAAATTCTCTTGAAGCTGTCTCTTTTTTTAATTAAAAAAAACATTTGTTTGTACTTTTTTATTCAGTTTCTGCTCAGGACAAGGCATGGCCTGGGAAAAGAAGGCTGTCTGTTACAAAAGGTAGGTTCTAGTAAATGTGAATATATTAATATGCAAGTGTGTTGATTTTAACCATACTGGAACATCATCAGATTGGGTACTATTTGTGTAACTGTTTTTGGATGGCCGTAAATACTTTACTTTGAGACTGCTTGATCAAGTACATGTGTGATTAGGATATTTGAAAATCACTGCAAATTTTGATTTGGACAGCCAACTGGGCTAAAATGTGGAAAATACCACAGATTAGGTTCGAGTTTCATGGGGAGCACTGGATTTTTGAGATTGTTGGTTCTTATGGTTTTATCGGAGATCAGTGTTTCTCTTTGTGGAATCATAGAATTTAAATCGGATAAAGCCAGGCCATCTTTCCATTGTTAAAACTATTTAGTGCAATTATAATTAATATTTGAGTTCTTTGTCATTATTGTTTAGGCTTTCCTAGGGCAATATCTTTTATCTGCATACGTAAAAAATGGGTTACTTTGTAATAATAACGCATGTGGTTTGAAAAGGAACAAAACAAAAACATAATCAAGGGAACCACAGAGAGCATTTATGCATTCTTGCTGCTAGAATAACTTTATAAACTGGTGTAATTGTCTGTAATCTTGGAAGAGTTCTTACTCTCTCAGTGTCTTGTTTGGTGTTACAAACTCCTTTTTGCATAGGTATATTTAAAAACACAAACAAAAACAAAACATAAACCTAACCACCTCACTTCTAGGAAGGTTTTCTTTAAGGGTTCAGCTTAAACTAAGTCACACCGTTATAGACAGAATCTTATACAGGTGGACTGAAGACTGAAATTTAAAGAATGAATGCTTTAAAACATGCATATTGCATCATAAAGCTAGATGTATGGTAAGAACTCTGTTTGTAGCAGTATATAGTTGACTGACACATTATGCTTTAAACGTGGAAGTGCAGCTTCTGGCTCAAAGCTAGAAATTGCTTTAAGCAGAAAGTTAGTGCTTGAATGGGAATTGTTACTGCGTGCTTATCTTGCTTTTCTGGAACATCAGTTATAAGGCTAAAAATGGAAATAAATTGCTGGACTGTATGGCCCTTCAGTGCAACCCAAGTATAGCCATTTCTGGTAGGAAAACCTGGAGAAAATAGTCTTAATCATCGAAGTCAGAAAGTATTTTTTTGAGTGGGACTTTTTTGTACATCCATATAGCTTATTTATGAGAAAAGGCCATTTGTGAACAATAAGATGTGATCTCCTGGAAACGTGAGAAAAACAGCACGTGGAAAATATTTCTGGAAGTCATCTTAAGTGTTTGTTTTTATCGTCTGTGGGAATATCACTTGAAAAGATGATAATTCAGTCTTATTGTATTAACTGTATAAAGAAAAATGGGGAGGGAAAAAGTCATAATTTCTTAACAATGTTTTTGTCTCTTAGAAACTGTACAGACCCACCAAAAGAACGGGAAGCATGGTGGTAAAACACTGCCTTGGCATTCTTCAATAGGAAGTGCTGGAAAGCAAAATTCTGTAACAGCTCTGCAACAAGTGGATACTGAGCCTCTTGGAAGTGACTGTCTTGAGAACAGGACTACTGAAGATTATCTGCAAGGTTGTGAGGATAAAACTAGAGATGTGATAGTGCAGAGAGATGGAACGCACAATAGTTCAGCCTTATCTGATCAGGAGCAAAAGGGCCAAGGTGGAAATGTGATGGATATATTGAACTGGGTCAGGCCTCTCCCTGCTCTACTTTCTCCAGTACGGCTTTCACCAGTAGCTACACAGGTAAGTTTGAGGGTATGTCTGACAACTCGGCATTAACTTGATTGTATAATTACAACAGAAATAATAAATTGGTATTCTTGGGCTTTTGGGGTTGTTTACTCATACACTGAAAAGATGTCTGAGCATTTAGATTTGTAAATGTATTTTTTTCATTCTAGCATACTGCATGTGGAAGGCTGCAAAAGGCAATTTTCTGAAGTATATTTAAGTGAAGTTGGCCATGTCTTACTCAAATGCTATTTTTCAGTAATCTTAGAATAGAATTAGGTAAGCAAAGAAGTACCAGTTTTCACGAAGATGCTTTCTGTTAACTGTGAAGAGTAATGATGTAGAAAGACGTAATTCTGCTGGTCCCAATCTCTCAAAACCACTGCTTGCTAGGGCCATTGGTGTATTTGCTTAGAAAAATAGAGCTCTTAAAAATGAAAACTAATTTTGTATTTTTCATTAAAGGATACGTTGTTCGGAGAGCTCACAGGTTCTAGCGATGAAGAAATGGATTGCATTGCTTCTGCAGAGGAGTGTATCTTACAAGAAGACCAAGTTCAGTCTCAAAATTGTTATAATGTATTCAAACAGAATGAAGAATGTAACAGATGGAACAAACCACGTGGGCATAGTCTTGATACAGAAATTTCGTATAACTTGAGTAGAACAGAAAAGATTGTTCATATCAGCCCTGCGACGTTAATCAAAGAGGAGAGAAATACAAAGCAATGTGAAGTTGCTACTTCAGTTACAAATATAGAATCTAATAGAGATTGTTTGGAGAATTCTGAGAATATGGAAGCTGTGAAGAGAGATCTAATGGAAGCAACAGCATGTGAATTGGAAGCCGAAGAAGAACAGAAAGGAGATATCAAGGAGATGCACAAGGAAGAAAAGGCCTCTTCAATTCATTCTATGCTACACAGTTTCAACCTTCAGAATCAAATAGAAAGAAGTGGTGAGGTTGAGCAAACAGAGGTGAATGCAGTCTTAATCAGAGCTGGTGGTTACAACAGTGCACATGAAAAGTATGGAGAGATAATGAAAGCGGAGCATGAAAGAGAAATTCCCAAGGCAGTAACCATTCCTCAGAACGTTACTAATTTGCCTCCTGAACAATACCATGTTGTACTTCAAAGAAAAGATTCTGAGGAGAAATCTGGTATGTTGATAGAGAGTGAAGTGGTTGAAAATGAACGCAAGGATGCAATAAGGATAACCAATACAGCAATTAATGTTGAGGAAAATATCAAACAAGTGGTAAGTGGAGAGGAAGCAGCAGCTACAATACAGATGCAAGGGCTCTGTGCAGAGCCTAACAATGGGAGAGAGCTCTCTGAAAATGTATTGTACAATTTCAGTAGCTCTAAATCCTCCTGTGAAGCCAAGCGTCCTGAAGACCTAATAATACAGTATGATGGTGAGGGAATAGTTATGGAGACTGACGTATGCACTGAATCTACTGTTCACTCTCAGTGCTCTGAAATAAGACATGACAGTGAAAAGATACTGGAGGAACAATGCAAACATACACTAAAGTGTGAAATAGTCAGAAAATGTGAACTGGAGACACCTGAGGTCTCTCAGTGTTACTCACCTGTGTCTGCTGTTGAAGGAGTTGAACATTCACTGTACATGGATGATACAGAGAAAAAAGCATGTGTGGTGGGAAGTGCTTCATTGGCCTTTCCAGAAGATGATGGACAGCTCAAAATTCAAGACAAAAATATAATCAGACCCAAATCTGTTGAACAAACTATGAAATTGAACAAAGAAAGTGTTCTTGAAATAGCTGAATCATCAGGGCTACTCCATAGTGCAGAAAATGGAAAATTACTGTATGAAAAGGAAAGGGAAGGTTTGGAAGGTAAAAATCATCAGGAAGAAAGTTTCAGTCATTTTTTCCAAGGGAAGTCAAATTTGGAAAGTATACCTGCAGTGCCAAAGATGGCATGTGTTACTGATGCAGAAAGTGGCGTAGCTAAGTGTGAATCATTTGTGTTGGATTCTACAGAAAGAAATGGTGAAATAAATCAACCTGAAAATCTGTGTAGTACCATAGAATGTGAGTTGTCCAAAACTCAGAACTTTGGAGTGATTGAATCTCAAGAGTCTGAATTCAAAGTTAATCAAGAAGATTTTATAGGGGATAGTAGTAAACTGTTAGAAAAAGTGGATACCATCCAATCTGTCTTAGTAGAAAGTAATCTTACTTCTCAAACACAATTTGCAGAACCTCAGAATCAGTTCTTGATGACTACAGATGCTAAATGTGATGAAACAAAAGCAGAATTAAACAAACAAAGCAAGGAATTGATTGAAGCCTGTCCCAGTTCATTTAAGGAGGAAAAGAATGTTGTGAAAAAAAATAATGTTTCAGAGATCATACAAGAGCCTTCTTCAGAAATGGATTTTAGTAGTGGCTTTGCTCTGTGTTCTCAGATGGACTTGAAGACAGACTGTATGAATTCTAAAGAAACAGGTTCCCCTATTCAAGTGAGAAATGGTTTGGAATCTACAGTGCCTAGTGGTCTAAATTTCAGTCTTCAGAAAGTTGTGAGAGTTGTTGAAACTGATTTCACAAAAAATTCTGATTTTTCCCCTACATGGAAAAAAAAAGGAGACAAAAATTGCATTGTGAGTAGTGCATTTAATTGTTCTTTAGAAGGCTTTAAGAAAGGTGCTGAGGTCATGTCTTCTGAAAAAGATAACATGTGCAAAGAACTGGACCCCTGCTCTGAGAAGTACATACACAAAAATGAAGGGGGAGTTCCAGGTGAGAAGGAGTTGCCAATAGATAAAGTACCCGAGACCTCTGTTGAATTACAAATCCTGCATGCAGACTCTCATAAAAAGAGTACTTCAACTTTACAAAACATTATTTGTCAAGAATCGGAATGCAAGACTTCTACTTGGGAAACTAGAACAGATTCTTCTAGAACTTGTTCAATAACAGCTGGGGAGGAAAGCAAAGGGTTGAATAGGCTTGAGGCACCTGAGGAAAATAGCGTTGAAAGGTCTGAAAATGCCTTTGATGTTGCAGAGCAGAGTAATGAATCTAAGGAGAAGGACTGTCCTCTACAAAAAGTCCAATGTGTGAAATGTTCTGAATGTGTTGCCAAGCTCAGAAAGGAACTGAGAGCATCAACAAGAATTTTAGTGGATGCTCTGGAAACTGGTGCAATTGTTGATGCTGGTGACCAACTGTGTGAACTTCATTCAACAACGCAGTCAGGAAATACAGTGACAGGTAGTCATCTAAAACCAGATGCAGGAATGGATATGGATATACATTGTGAAAGAGGCTCTTCTCCAAATGCGGCAAGTGAGAAGTCAGGTGAGGTTGAGGAGGGTTATCCTAAAGACTATTCTACTTTGAAAAGAAGATGTACATTATTAGCCTCTGAAAATACTGATGGTGCTAGTGAATTCAGCATAGATAATAGCACAACTGGATGGATGAACGACAGTAGGGAAGATCTGTTAGAAACTGGGACATCCAAAGGAAGCCCTGTGATGCTGAGTGCTTCAAAAAGTAGATTACCACTATGCCAGATGTTAACCACATTCTCAGAAGCTTACAAAATAGCTGTAAAACACAGTAAATTAAATACAAGAATGTTAGCACTTGGCGATGTCATAGAAGAAAATTATTCTGAGAAGTTTGAGTCAAATGTGCAACAAAAATTACCACACAGTGTTGATATGGACATTTCAATTTTTGAAGAATATAATCATAATCAGAATTGCTCTGCTTGCAACTCAGGAGAACATAACGCTAATTTAATGTTAGATGGGTTACAGCCTTCTTGTTGTTTTAGTGGTACAACGTGGAAAGGCTTTCTGGATAATGGAAGAAAAAACTTCATTGTTAAGTATTTTGCAAATCCAGCCCTATCTGACATAGACTGTAATTCTCAAATGGTTAATCAGGCTCCTAAGCCACAAAAAGTGGCATTTGAGGACTCATGTATGCTGGAGTCAGAGTCTTGTGTGGATGTTGCTCTTAAAAAGACTAATACATTGAAGTGCAAAGGGCAAGAACAGTCAGAAGTCTTGAGTGTTTCAACCAAGGCAGCTGTCCAAGTAGTGCATGGCAGACTATCAAAAAAACTGTTTCAAGGTAAAAGCAAAACAAATGCTCTTGAAGTTAAAGTAACTGAGCCAGTTCTTGCAAATGCTGACACTTCTATGCCAACAAAAAGTTTATCTGAGACTATAAACAAAATCAGGCAAGAGATGGGCCCTCCTCTGCCGCCCCTGCTGCTGCCTTTGATTGCTACTCCTCCAAGAGCCACTACCTGTTCTATGGGCCCAGTGATGTCTTCTGCTGATCGATCCTCTTTGCTTTCCCCTCTTGATGAACTGATATCGCCTCTACGTGAATCCCCTGTTCCTCCTCTGATGTCTCCCCTGACAGATACTCCAACAGTCAAATCTGCCCTTCTGTTTTCCTCTCCATCACCTTCAGAAATGGCAGTAGGTAAAAGGATTCTCTCCTCACCTTTGCAGTTTTGTACTTCTATTCCAAAGCACGCGCTTCCTGTCCCAGGAAGACTTCCTCTGTGCGCAACAGATGGTGCTGCTACTGGTGCTCCTCAGGAGAACTCTGTGAAAATATTGGACACTATGTATCCAGAGCTATCTGCAAGGGCAAGGACATTAAACATTCTAAAGGGCAATATTCAGCTTAACCTGTGTGCTCTTTCAGATAGCCAGAGTTCCCCTGGACCTGTGGCTCAAATAGGCAGTTTCAAAACAATAGCATCTACATCAACTGCTTTTGTTAAAACTGGGAGCAATTTGAAGTCTGACGATAGCAAAGATCAGGACACAAATGTGAAAAATCAGCAATTGATTTCAAGCTCATCAAGTCGTCTTGAAAAAAGGACGTTATTGCCAGTACCTATGCCTCGAAGTGCAAAGAGGCTGAGGTTAGACAGTGAACCACCAAAGCTGGAGCCCACTGGTATTGCTGTTATCGGAAACGATCAAAATATGGACTCTGAAATAGAGGAGAATTCCGATGACAAGAGCTGTGAAATCAGTGATTCAGCACACGGTTCCAGTTTAGAAACATCTTTCCCAGTAAAGCAAATCATTGATCCTGACTGCCAGAAAGTTGAGTTGGCATTGAAGAAAATTGCTGAATCCTGCTTTGACTTGTTACCAGTAATTCAAAGTCATTTGGGCAATATCTCAAAGATTCCAATAATGAGAGATGAAGAGAAAGAAGTTGTCAATGAATTTGGTATAAAAAACAGGGTAAGTAGCATCATTTTGAGTTTTGTATTTTAATAGTGTCTCCTGTGCAAATGAAGTAGCGAGCATGTAGTAGTTGAATTCTCAATTGCTCAGGCAATCTGTAGTGACAGTGTAGTGTTGAAAGATAATCATACATGTGAACTTTTATAAGTTTTTAATTGAGAGTGTGGTAAGGTGATGGGACAGGTTGCCCAGAGAGCAGGGATGCTCCCTCCCTGGGGTTTTCAGAGCCAGTCTAGATGGGCTCGTAGGCAGCTGTTGTAGTGTTTGATCCTAGTAGTTTGCAGCCCTGCCTTGAGCAGGGGGGTTAGAAATAAGTATTTTTGAGGTCCCTTCCAGCCCAAGTTGTTCTGTGAATCAACAAACAAAACAGAAGTTACTGTTCAGTGGTGTCCAAGATTCAAAACTATGTGTAGATGCTTTATGCACACATAAGAAAAGCAGTATTTTATTTATACTGCATTATTTGTAGTGGGTAATGTAAGAGAAGTTTCCTTCCTTTAAAGGTGAGGCTTGATTATTGTTTTTAGCTTTTTTTTTTCTTCAATGAAACAAGATAAACAGTGCTATATATGATAGTGGTTTAGCCTTTTATTCTGTGTTTATCTTAATTCTGTACCAAGTTGCTCAAGTTAATTTTAGTGGAAAAATTTTTCATTATTTGGTGTCTCAGAACTTGCTTGGTTTCAGAGTTGAAAAAATTCACTTTATTTGATGTCATTCTCGTAGATGGTTTATAGTCTGCAGCAGGGCAATTAAACAGTTGATTTGCGGCAGCATTTTGCCTTGTTCCAGTTCATAAAATGAAATTAGATCAGAATACTGATCTCTCAGTTATCCTCAGAAGGTGTATACAGAGTTCTTGGGTCATCTTTGTTAGGAATTGCTGTATTTGCTAACTTTAAAGAAGGAAGACTGTGACAACATTCCTTCCAGGTCCAGCAAGTAGCAATGTTGAGTATTTACTCCTAGTAGACATTTAGTCTGTCCAGTAGGTGGCTCGTATTTCTCCCCTCTTGTCTCAGGCATCCTTAAACACGTGGTCTTGTGCATGTTGACTTACAGAATGGCACAAACAAATGCATATTGCTGCAATAGCTAGAACAGACTTTTGACATTACCAGAACCCTCAGATTCACACGTACTTGGACTTTTGGTTTCTCCAGAAGCCACCATTCGGGCTTTTGATGTCTGCAGGTTACCAGCCTAAACTCAAGGCCCCTCCAGAGCACTCGTTCCTAAGCTTCTCAATTGTTTCATACTTTCAGCCCTCTAAACATCTTTTAGTAAGTCTTGCACAATCCAAATTTTCTTCTATCCTGCTCATTTTGTATTTCATATCCCTGTAGACAGTTAGACCCCCCTCCTTACCTTCTCAAGGGAACATCAGATGATCCGTGGGGAACCTCTGCTGTTGAATAATCTGGTAAAACTTGCACCTGGACAATGGGCTGCTTGTCTTCCTGTGACAGCTCTGGGAGCAGCCAAGTTAAGATGCTCCATTTGCACTTATTAAGTTATTGGGGTCCTTTATTGCTGTCTCACTTTTTGTTTATGGAAGATAGGTTTTAGTCATATAACATAACTACACAATTCATTTCTAAAGAAGAGTAGTCCCGTTCTGTCTCTCTTTAAAGGCATGTGCGTTCAGAGAAGTTTCTACTCACTTTTCTTCTTTCTTTTGGTGGTTCCTCTGATTTAATTATGTGCATTCTTTTGTATATATACCTGCAATCTATGCTCTTACAGGTAGTTCTCTTGTCATACTGTTATAATGCTATTAAATGTTCTCAAATATTGTACAGTCTAATAACTATTTTTTATGCCTTATAGCATTTAGCGGAGTCATTGCTGCACGTTATTCTCAATAAACTCAAGGCTCAGAAAATGGCCTCGACTTACAGTTTCAATCAAGCTCTTTGTCGAGTTTATACAGGAGTTTGTCGACAGCTGGGAGATTTGGAAAGAGCCCGCCTCTTCTGCTATAGCTTACTGAAAGAAGGTATAGTGTGTCTTGGTGGCCTCGTGTTTTTAACGATGTGATGTGTCTGTGCTATAGTGTTACAGAATGATTGCCTCTGAAAGCAAATACTAAAAAAAAAAATCCTTCTGTGAAAGAGACGCTTTCCTTAGACCTTTCATCTACAGTACAGAGATACAGACCATTCTAGAAGAAATTTGTTTGGTTCCTCTACCTCTGTATCTCTGTATCTCAGCTTGGTGCTCTTACTGGTCAACTCATTTTTCAAATAAATACTCTGTGCTTTCATTTTTGCCCTGTCATCTCCAAAATGATACTATGATGCCAGGGAATTTTGTACTTTTTGCTTATTATTGTTTTTACCAAATAAAGGCTGATATCTGAAACTTTTTTTTTTAGTTTTTGGCTTAAAACAGTGTCAGGAGTTGGACAACAACACCAGGATCAAAACCAGTGCATTTATGTAACATGTCCTCCTTAATGTTTTGCCGTCGTCTATTGTCCAAAGCCTTGCTTGGTTGAGAGGTTTTGATTGGTGTTTTTTGTTTTCCTCCATTTGTTTCCATTATCTTGAGTGATAAAGTAACAAAGGTAATTAAACATAAATGGTATCACTAGTAGCTGAGAACTCTGTAGTAGTTCTGGAAGGGCTTCACTTAACTTCAAAATCTGTGACCATCTGGAGATCAAAAGCAGTATATTGGTATCTGCATGCCAAATTCAGATTGAAAAAATAGCAACTGGGGTGCACTGCAGGGCTAAATTGCACAGCTATTGAAGCGTAAGGTATTTCTTTTGTTTTAAAATAAAGATTATGATTTTATTCTGTTCTTAAGTATTTTTCCTCTCTTTTTCTTTTTTGTAACTCTTGTTTTCTTACCTGCCTTTCTTTCTATCAACGTCAATCATCATCATTCTATTTTTTCATCTTATTAATCTTATTACTCTACTGTGTCTACTTTTTCTTAGTCTAGCAATTAAGTCTTTTATTTTGCAGTATCTTGGTACTTTACCTTTTTGTAGGCCCTTACAAATTTCTAAAAGTTCACTTTTTTCAGGGGGAGGAAGTAAGATCTAAACACCAGTAGCTAATTGCAAACTATGTTGAATGATTTTCTATTGTTACTTAGAATTACATGAATTCCTGTTGTGTATGTTCTGTGTTTTTATTATTAATTTTGAATGTGAAAAGTTATAAACATATCTTGGAGTTTTTTCATTCATTTCACATAATCATAGGGATTGGAAGGGACCTCCTGAGATCATCAACCCTCCTGCTAACACAGGCTCCTTAGAGTAGGTTGCACATGAAAGTGTCCAGGTGGGTTTTGACGATCTCCAGAGAAGGAGACTCCACAACTTCCCTGGGCAGCTTTCTGCTGTTCACCTTCAGACTAAAGTTTGAAGTTTAGTCCTCATGTTTGAACAGAACTTCATGTTTTCCAGTTTGTGCCCATTGCCTCTTGTCCTATCACAAGGCACTACTGAAAATAGCCTGGCCTTGCTCATCCATTGGACATTTATTATAAGCATTCATAAAGATCCCCTCTCAGTCTTCTTCAGGCTAAACAGTCACAGGTCTCTCAGCTTTTCCTTATGAGGCAGATGCTCCAGGCCCCTAGTCATCTTCTCAGCCCTCTACTGGACACTCTCTTGTCTCCCCTTCCCTTTTCTCCTGTTCTAGAAGCTCAGGGGAGAATTCTGGGGAGCCCTGAACTGTGTACTCCACATGTGGTCTCACCAGGGCAGAGTAGAGGGGGAGGAGAACCTCCCTTGAACTTGCTGGCCAAGCTCTTTTTAAGGCATCCCAGGACATCATTGTCCTTCTTGCTTACAAGAGCGCACTGCTGGGTCTTGGTCAAGCTGTTACCCACCAGAACACCTGGTCCTGCAGAACTCCTTTCCAGCAGATCAATCTCTAAACTATACTGATGCTTACAGTTATTCCTCACCAGGTGCAGGATTTTCTGTTTTTGAACCTCATCAGGTTCCTTTCCACCCAGGTCTCCAGCCTGTCCAGGTCTCACTGAATGCCAGCATAGCATTCTCATGTGTCATCTGCTCCTCCCAACTTTGTATCATTAGCAGACTTTCTGGGGATAAACTGTCCCTTCATCCAGACCACTGATGATGGTGTTAGACAAGACTGGACCAATACTGACTGCTTGAGGAACACCAGTAGCTACAGGCTTCCAACCAGGCTGTGCTGCTGATCACAACCTTCTGAACTATGCCAGTCAGCCAGCTTTCAGTCTACTTCAGTGTCCAGTCATCTGTCCTCACGGTTCCTGCACTTACCTATGAGGATGTTGGAGGAGACAGTGTCAAAGTCTTACTGAAGTCAAGGTGGACAACACGCGCTTCTCTGCACTCATCTGCCCAGCGGATCATGGAAGGCTATCATGATCGTGATTTCGCCTTGGTGAACCCATGTTGACTACTCCTGATAATCTTTTCTTCCATGCTGTAGATGGCATCAAGAATTTATTTTTATTTGATTACCAATGCATTTATTTTGAGATTTTATCATCAATATAGTTTCACATATTAATTCTTGTCAGAAACTTGGCAATGAGAGTGAACTATGTTTCTTCTACACATCTGCCAGATTGTCTGTAAGTAGTCAGTACTGCCTTTTTAGACTTGCATCATTTGTTCTCTTGACTTCCTGTCCATCTATTTTTGTTACATTCTCCTTTCAGGTATTCTGTATTAAATAACTCACTTCTGCTGTTCTTGTCATCTTCTTCCTTTTTCTTTCTTCTTTTTTTTTTTTTATTTCATGACTATCTTTGGCTTGATGCAGTGATCTGAGTATCCATTTGTGACTGGAGTGTACTAGGCAGGATTCTGGAGCGCATGTTCCAATTTAATGTTATCATAAAAGAATCCAGTTTCTGTGCTCCAAGACCACTCAGTAAACTAAATAGCAGTAAGAAGAATAAAAGGAGACAAAACTTAAAAGACAAAAGAACTGTGGTCACTATTGTTACTCAGCCAAGTCTGGCGATGCCATAACTGGCCTACTGACTAAAACACTCTCTTTTTGGAAAGAAAAAATAAAAAAGACTATTACAGTGGGAGAGGTGGCTTTTTTGTTTGATTCCTCCCCTTTCACATCAATTTAAGGAAAGGACTGAGGTGTGACAGTATGACTCCCTTTCACTGGTCTGCAGTTGTTAAGTGACTTCTGCCTTTTCTCCTTGTTGTCTTGTTGTGGAATGTACTAGCTTTTAATGTCTGAGTATACTTTTAACTTGCTTTTAATAAATGTTGAAAACTTATGTTCTCTTTTTTTTTCTTCTTAGACTTTCCAGACTCAGTGAAATTGATTATATTCATCACAAATATATGGCCTGACATATTTTTCTTCCAAGGTGCAATCAACAAAGCTATGCAATTAATTATCAGGCAGAATGCAAATGACAGTGTCCTGGCCTGTTTGAATGCCTGTCTCAGCTGGGAGCAGGTAACTTCTCCTTTCACTAACAGTGTCAGCTTTCATCTGCTTTGTTCCCCTTGCAGGCTGTATAAAACCAAGAAGGTTCTGGTGAAGGATGTAAAAATGCTCAGTGAATATCTTATGGAGTTTGTAAAGTTGCACAACTAATGCTACTTAAGTCTTTCTTTCTGTGGTTATCTAAGTCCTGTCAAAACACAACATTGTTTTGGTTCTTTTCCATGTTATTACTAATCCCTCTATTAAACGTTTAAGGTAAACATCGATTTTATATTTTAACTTTCTCTATTTAAGCATTCTTGAACCAGGGAATTATATGCCTCTGTGGAACTGTGATTTTCTTTTTTCTTTTTTTTTTTTTTTCATGTTCCTTTAGGTCATTTCTTGTTTGGTTTATTTTGTGGGGTATTGTTTTGTTTTCAGTTTTATTGAGCTTGTCTGTCTTTAATTGTAATGGGAAGTTGTTTATCACACTTATTTTCAGGATAGACATGTCTCATCTTACATGCGATCTTTCTGTGAGGTACACTGTAAGTAACCACTTATTGCCCTCAAAAATGTTGACAAATCTGATTTCACAAGTAGTTACAATCAAGTTCAAGTATGAGCCCGGGACTTCATGTGTGATCCTGGACAAGTCATTTAATTTCTGTCAGTTTTAAGCAGGCACATATTGCTATCCTAAAAGGAATGTTGCAAAGTGGAAAAACTGGATCATCCTTGATATCTGTAAGAGCAAATTTACATAATGCAGATGAGAAGCTGGAGATACTTTGCTTCTGGATAAAAAGTTTGTGTAACAAGTTTGAGTGCTTGCTAAAAGCCACTGCCCTAGTAGTTTTGAAGACCGATATTAATACCAGGCTTGCATGGTGGAAGAGCTATAGTTCTGTAAAATACCAAGTGAAAAAAGTCATCTTGATTTCTCATTCCTAAGCATGTTGTTTGATATCTGTCATTGGAACTACAAGTAGGTTTACAGTTATCAGTGTGGCCTTTGTGTTGTACCCACTGGAAAAGCATGTATTTTTTGTATGGTAAGAGTAGAGTTACAACCCCTATAAATGCTCTGTTCCAGGCTTACATTGGAATGAGATAGGAGGTTGTGGATTTGTATGTGTTTCTTTTTTGTTTGGATGTACACAAAGCTATGGTGATCAATCAGAGTAATGCAGAACTACAATCCCCCCTTGCAAAGGAATTATACTCTCCTTTTTGTTAGGTTATTGCTTTCAATCTTGTGCCAGTAGAGATACATGTACATATGCCATAGTAAATGTCCCCGGAACCATTAGTTCTGTATACTCTCGCTACCTACTTTATGGCTTGGAGTTCCATAAAATATGAGAAGTGCTGCAGATGGGGAGAAAAATCTCAGGAGCTTCTATTGATGAGGGCTAATCACGTCACCTTTTCTGTAAGATGGAAATACAGGGAGGAATTTCCATTGGTCCATGATTGACAGTGTGTTATAAAAGATCACATTCATAAAAATCACGTGCCTTAAAACAAGCTGGAAGGGAGCAAGGCCAATTTGGCTGAATGTGAAGCTTTCATTGAGAATCAAAGGGGGATAAGAGAGTTTGCTACTTTTGGAAGAAGAAGGGTTAGGCAACTTAGGAAGAGTACAAGGATTTTGCTGTAATTAGAAAGGCAATAGCCTGGCTAGAGCTAGGCTGTCCATCGTGTAAAAGTGAACAAAAACTGTTACAAATACATGAAAAGGAAAAGGAGGTCCAGGGAGAATCTCCCTCCTTTATTGGATGCAGCAGGAAATATCACCACCAAGGGATGAGGAAAAGTCAGAGGTACACAACACCTTCTTCTGACTTTATGAATCAGATAATTATCCTCAGGGTATTCAGCCCCCTGAGCTGCTAGGCAGGGGTGAGAAGCAGAGTAAATGCCCCACAGTTCAGAAAAGCAGCAACCTACTATTCTGTTTAGACTGTCACAAGACTGTTGGGCCAGATGGGATCCAACTGAGGGTACTGAGGAAGCTGACAGAAGTGCTTGCCAAGCCACTTTCCATTTTTATCAGCAGTCCTGGTCAACCAGTCCCAGGTGACTGGAGATTCCCAGTGTGACACTCACCTCCAAGAAGGATTGGAGGGATAGTCTAGGGAACTACAGGCCAATTGGCCTGACCTTGATATTGAGGAAGGTTATGGAGCAAATCATCACATGGCATCACATGGCATGTACAAGACAGCCAGGGGATCAGGCCTAACCAGGTACACGTTCATGAAAGACAGGTCTTGCTTGACCAATCTGATTTTCTCCTAGGACTGGATGACCTTCTTGTGGATGTAGTCTGCATAGGCTTTAGTAAAGCCTTTGATGCTGTATCTTCTACAGCATTTAGGGTTAGGGTTAGGGTTAAGTTAGGGTGTTGGTCTCGATCTCTGGAGGTCCCTTCCAACCCCTACGATTCTGTGTGATTCTGTGTGTGATTTTCCTGGAAAAGCTGATAGCCCTTGACTTAGATGAACGTATGCTTCATAGGGTTAAAAACTGACTGAATGGCTAGGCCCAGAAAGTGGTGGCAAATGGAGTGAAATCCATCTGGCAAACAGCCACAATTGGTATTCCCCAGCGATCAGTACTGAGGCCAGTTCTTTTTCATATCTCTATTGATGATCTGGACAGGGGGATTCATTGCGTCCTCAATAAGTTTGCAGATGACACGAGGTTGAGTGGAGGTGTTTGTCTGCTTGAGGGTAGGAAGCCTCTACAAAGAAATCTGGGTGGGCTGAATCAATGGGCTGAGGCTAATTTTATGAGATTCCACAAGGCCAAGTGCTAGGTCCTGCACTTTGCTCATAACAATCCTGTGCAGTTTCTACAGGCTTGGGCGAAAGTGGCTGGAAAGCTGTACAGTGCAGAAGGATCTGAGGGTGTTGGCTGACAGCCATCTTAACATGAGCCAGCAGTGTGCCCAGGTGTCCAAGAAGACCAGTGGCATTCTGGCTAGTATCAGAAGTAGCGAGACTAGGGAAGTGATAGTCCCCCTATACTCAGTACTGGTGAGGCTTCACCTTGAGTACTGTGTTTAGCTTTGGGCTTGAAGTACCTTCAGTTGGTACCTGAAGGGAAGCTGTAGTGAAATGAGGGTGAGAGGTAATGGCATCAAGTTGTGCTGGTGAGATTCAAGTTGGATATTAATTCAAATTTCTCTGAAATAGTGGTCAAGCATTGGAAGAGGCTGCCCATGGAAGTGGTGGAGTCACTGTCCCTGGAAGTGTTCAAGGAAAACGTAGATATGGCACTTAAAGATATGGTGTAATGGGCATGGTAGTGTTGGTTTGATGATTGGACCTGATGATTTTAGAGGTCTTTTCCACATTAATGATTCTGTAATTCTATGATCTCAGTATTAAGATGACTCTACGTGTGACAGAAAAGCTTGTGTAGCATGGAGATTTTGTTCTCAGCTGAAGTATGCCAATTTTAGTGACATTGCAGAATATCCTATTTATATGGTCTTAAGTACCAAGAAATTAAGCAGCCACTATGTCTGTGTTATGTGCCTAAATGTTTTGTCTTATTTCTTAAGGTTTTCAAAGGATGTTTGTCTTTAAATTTCCTTGCTTACTCTAGCTTTTTAATTAGCAGAACAATGTTATGTGACATTTTTTCAGTCATTATTACTTCAGATATTGAAAGTACTTGCTTTGAAATTAAACCCTAATGAGTGATAATCAATAACAAATTTTAGCATCGTAAAATTAAAAAAAAAAAAAAAAATCTCAAAGCGAGTATTACTGGTGTAATCTTACATTGGATAAGGGCTCTTCTAACCTTAAAGTGTTGCCAAGAGAAATAAAAATCTCCAAATTGTGGAAGCAGAAGGAAGAGTATGGTTTGTGGTCATGTTTGTTTACTCAAACTGCTCTTATTTAAACCATCAAGAAGAATATTGAGAATTAGAAGGTATTGGTTCACTGTGTTTTGTTTGTGTTAAGTCAAGCTCAAAAGTTGGATTTGTGGTGTAAGATGATCTCCAGTGGTTGCTGTACATAGTCAGAATCTATTATTTGTAAAGAGTATGGTTCTAGGTTGTAACTTTTCATTCATTAAGGTCATCAACTTCTGCATTTCCAGGGTTCATCTTCAGATGCTGGTATTATGGTCTCAAACCTGCTTTTAGAAATGCAGTCATGTCCAAAGGTAGAATTTCAGCTGAATGAGCAGTATGGAGAAGATCTGAGTGACGATGCTTGGCAGTACATATTTGCTATTGATCTACTTTGCTCTCACCTTAAATGGGATTGGACACATGACAATGTTATAAGGTATTGTGGCAAGCAGTTTGTCCAGACATTTTTACGTGCTTTTTTGTTGCTGTTTGGTTGGTGACTTTTTGTTTTTGTTTGTTGGTTGTGTTGTTAATCTTTTTTTTTTCTTTTTTCCAAAACAAGCATCGGATCCTATTTGTAACATAAAAACTTTTAATTTTCAGTGATAGAATAAACTTGTATAATATCTTGACATTTCAAAAGTGTACAAGTCATATCCAAATACAGATGTAAAAAGTCAGTGGAGTACCCTCAGGACTTCATGTAGAGAAGCAGAATGTTGCAAAGAAATGGTCCCCCTCTGCTCGGCTCTTGTGAGGCCCCATCTGCAGCGCTGCGTCCAGGCCTGGGGCCCCCAGCACAGGAAGGACGTGGAGCTCTGGGAGCGGCGGGGCCAGAGGAGGCACTGAGATGAGCAGAGGGCTGGAGCAGCTCTGCTGTGAGGAAAGGCTGAGGGAACTGGGCTTGTTGAGCTTGGAGAAGAGAAGGCTGTGGGAGACCTCATGGTGGCCTTCCAGTGCTTGGAGGGATTCTATGAATTAAAGATATAAATGGAATTGGGGAAATCCATGATAAGCAAAAGAATCATTTGTTATTCTATAAATACCACCCCCTCATGCAGTATCAAATTTTCAAATTAATTCATCTTTCACAGCAAAGTGCTTTGGCCTTCTATGGATAAATGGATAAAGAAGAGAAAAGACCGTGAAACTGCACTATCTGTTCCTGACAGTATTATAGCATTGACACTCAGGCTAATTGGTAAGTAATCTAAATTTTTCTTTGAACTTCTGCTTAATGTATGTCCTTGAAAAAGGTCAGTCCAGTGTGGAAAGTAATTTGAAGTATTTTTGCTTCTTTTTTTTTTTTTTTTTATTTCCTCAAAAGATTTTTCACCTTGAAAGACAAACTGTTACAATCTCATGCGAGTATTTTCTGTTTGCCATCCTGTGAAAAGCATGTACTTAGGTTCTGAGAGATGTTACTATGATTTAATGATAGTAAATATCAATATATTTTATGTATTTGAAATGAAGATGTATCCTTGGTAGCTGCATGTTTTTATACCAAAGTATATAAAATAAGGCTTTGCCACTTGTGAAGTTAAAGTCCTTAATTTGCTCTCTAGATGGCGTTCAGCATAAATCAATGAACTTTGGATTCCACTAGATGTTTTTAGTTACATAATGTTTAACAGAAGTTGCATTCTTCAAGAGTTTATTCTTTCAAACTGTATGAAAAATACCTTGGGATCTGTGGTCAGAAGAGGAATAGGACTGCTGTTGTTCCCAAGACAGATGCAGTAACAAGAGGGAGGATTTCGGGTTTTTATTTTGTTGGGATTTCTTTTGTTTTTTTCAGGTCGCTTGGGACAAATAGGTTTGAAGGAAGGATATCTTTCTGCTGTGAAGAATATTAGTTCTGTAATTGGACTGTTTGTACAGCATGCAAAAGAGGAAGGTAATGTCTGTTCAGAAGAACTTTAATATAAAATCTGCAATAAACAGAATGAGTACAAATTAGGACATTTGTGCCAGAACAGCCTGCTTGTGCAATTTTATGTTAGTAAGGAACAGAACAGACAGGTTTCAGTTTGAGCCCCTGGCTCTTCCAAAGATAATGAAGCCTGGCTATTAATATTTTTCTCAGTCAGGGAGCTTCTTGGAGGTATTCTCAGACAACTTGAAATTATTCTGTTTCACCTAATGTACCAGCTGCCTCAGAGTACATTTTGACGCAAGCAAGAATTGTTTGTTTGCTACCTGAGCAGCTCATACTGTTCTAAATTCTTGACTGAGACAAAGCGAGACAGGAAGAGCAGCAGAGATATGCAGTACTAAGTTATTCTGGATACTAAGTTTATTTTGCAGTGGAACATTCACTGCTGTGAGAGAATTATTTGACCTACAGCTTCTCTCTCTTGAGTCTCAGGCTTTTCCAAGTAAGTGGATGGACACATCTGTAACTGTATTTTTCTCTCTCTGGGTAAATCTGTTTGTTTTTATACAGTTTAATCACCCTGCACTAGAGTACAATTACTGGATGCTCAAATCCTTTGTGTCCATTGAATACTAAAACCCTGCTGAATTCAGAGAACTGGGAAGTGCAAGTATAAAATGAGATGTTAAGGAATTTTAGTGCAGATTGTCTTCTTGCTACTTTCAGGCTGTAGATATCTCACCTGTTGATGTTTTTATTCCAGTTTTTGAACTAACAATTTCCCCCAGAATTGCTGCATATTCAAGTTGATAGAAGCTAATTTGTGTTAACTTTTTGCAGATGTTCCATGGGGTGTGCAGCTGGCAGCCATATATTCACTGTGCGACTTGGGTTCAAGCAATCCATCCGGTATTGTTGGGGCCATCCATGCTTGGAAAGCTACAGTTCTTAACAGCATCCCTTTTGCGGTCACAAGAGGCCTAGCTGAAGTCAGTTCTTTGTGTAAAATGGACCTACCCTAAAGTGTAGTTAAATGGTCCTGTCTGAAGAAGTGCCTTACTTTACTAAGCAGAAATTGGTTCCAGATAAGAGCAATACAGAGTGGTGTCTTCTTCTTAAAAGAATGTCTGGTCATACAAAGCAAGCTTAACTGTTTTATTTGGCTTTTCTGCTTGAGGGCAGAGTTTTAAAAGGAGTAAAAAGGCTTGCATTTCCAAATAACTCATCAGTGATCTTGAAAACCAGTATGGTTTTGATTTCCAAGACATTTCTGGCGTAATGTCAATAATAATCAGTAGTTCAATTTGGAGCATGGGCATTTCGCTACAGCAGAAGATTGAGCTTGGCTGAAACTTGGCTCTATTCTTTTGTATTATATTTGTAAAGTAGCTGTTCAGATAGCAGAATTTTGCCCAGATTCTGCTTTGTGTTCCTTGAGTAATTTCATCAACTTAATATTAAATACTTGTGTAAAGGAGGTAGAACTTGTGTTACAGTCACTTATAGAGTAACAGAGGTATGAAATCTCTGAACTTGTATATATGGTATATCCCGATAATGTGTTTTTTACATTTGATATTGTTCCACTTGGGGAATTTTGTGAATGTAAATAGAAAGTTGGTTCAGAAGAAGTTTAAACTTCTAATGATAGCTTCACTACACTCTGCATTTTTATATCTTCCATAATAAAAGAAGCAAACACTGTTATGTTCTTGTTGGTCTTTTCAAATAACACACTGGGAATGAACTGTTGTTTCTAGTTTAAATAAGTACTGATTTGAGGGGAAGAGTTTTCAGTGGGATTGTCTGCAGTCAGTTCAGTATCTTTCAGTTGCAGCATTTCAATTTCTTCTGGATCTCTTAAGTCTTTCTGGCACCTGAGGATCAGGTTCTGTTTACTGGTCCTATGAACGGTTTCCCAGTCGCTTCATGAGCCACATGGTCCCATCCTTTTTCCTGCATGTTCTGCCTTAGCGGACAGCTCTTTAAAGAAAGAGGAATTCCCACCTCCTTGATGTTCTGCTTCACTTAGATGCTGCTGTCTTCAACAGAGTATGCACGCTGTTTTTGGTATTGCCTGTGGTACCAATGCCTGATGCATCATACATTTAGACACCAGCTTTAGCTTATTCTGCCTTTCCAGTTTGTGTTTGCATCTACTTCAGATTGTCTAAATCTACTGTTTCTGGGATGAATGCAATTTAATAAGAACATCCCTTGAATGTTATGCTTCTTATTCTAGACTTCTTGATAAAGACTAAAGAAGTAACACCAATTCACTAATGTGTGTGAATATTCATTGGAAATGTAAAATCATGGATTGGAATAGCTGGTATTAATAGCTCAAAAATTGTGTTTTGTAAAATACAAATACTAAGTTGTATAGTTTGTGTCAATATACATTTTATACAAAATGTATGAGTACTTTGTTTCTAAAGAAATTGCTCTACATTCTTGCTTATCTATCTGTAGAAGCAAGTTCTTAGTCTGACTACACTTTAATATAATAGTGTGTGTTTGCCAAAATAATCTCTATTTGGGATGACTGACATGTAATATACATTCTTTAATATGGGAGAAAAAAAGAAGGAGCAGACGTTGGAGCTTTTCCAATAGGAATTCAACAGCACAATAAGAGGCACATTCCCCCCAAAACAATGCTGTGGTCTTAACAAAAAAGAGGGAAAAAAAGTGTATTTCTGCATAGTTTCACTTCAGAGTAAAGAATCTTTCAAATGACTTGGAAAACTGCATTGGTGAAGTCAGTCTCCAAAGAGCTGTAAAAATCACAGCGCTTATCAACTCCAGCTTTCACCAAAGGGAATGATGGTAGCAGCATTGGCAGCAGGAGTAAAAACAAAGTTGAATGTTTCTATACCATCATGAGTGTCTGAACTTGGGGCTTGCCCGGGGCTGCATACACAAAGGTTGCTCCAAAAGTAATGCTTCTTATTTATTTCCATGGAAGCTATGACTAGGTCAGGACACATCTCTATTTGCACTGCTTCTAATGACACTTATTTTTCTGCTGGCTTGCATGGTACCTGCTATAGGACTTTCTATATCTTGTGACTCAGGTCACAGGTTACAACAGTTTATAGGTATCAGCATCATAATCTCTTCCCTGCTGGCTTTGTACTAGTCTACAGTAATTAACATTGTAATGAACTCCTCACCTTGCCTCTGGCCTGGCTAGCAACAAGGAGTTCCAGTTATAATGTTTCTGTAACAGGCAACTTAAATAATGGGTTACAAAAATGCAAAAGCTTAACAATTACAATCTGCACCCTTCATCATTTTGTGCCAGGCCATAGGTCTTAACATTGCAATGAACTCCTGCCCTTGCCCATGCTCCACTCTGGGCTTGATCTTTGGCCATACTTGCTTGGAAGTGTGCCTCTACTTGTGTGTCCCTCTACTCTGCCCTGGTGAGGCCTCCCCTGGAGCACTGCATCCAGATGTGGAGTCTTTAGTGCAGGAGAGGAAATTCTGCTCTGAGGCAAGCTCTTTGACTTTCACTTTGGGTTAATGTCACTGTTCAGAATAGCAACTGACAAGGCTCCACTTCTGTGTGATTCTACACAGGCAGAATTTGCAATGGTTTCTGTCACAGAAATCTGGGAATTAAACTCACTAACCCTAATGCTAACATTACTGCATTGCAGCACTGGGTGCATGGGAGATGGCAGATTGTATACACTCAACTTGTGAATATTCATGCAATTTCCATGAAGTGCCTAGAATTGCTATGCATATTAAAATCTAATATTACGCACTGTATCTAATATAATCTAATATTACCTGCACTATGGTAATACATGGTTCTTGCAAGGGATCTTAGGTGGTCATGGAGTTCCACTGGGAGTTGCTGTCTAGCCAAATGTTGTGTGTTAAGTAGGTCAGATCCCATATTTGATCAATAAATTATTTATTAAAAAATCGGCTTCTGGCCAAGCTTCTAATGGTCACATTGGCCTTGCTGTAGTGCCTGTATTATCACACCTCCTCACGGCTTGTGGAACTCTGCTTTCGGAACTGACGTGTCCTGCTTATCTAGGAAAACAGCCCTCCCCGCATAGAAGGTCGGTTTGCTGAATCAATTATATGCCGAAGATATCAATCAATTGCCAGGTGTCGCTTCCGCACAGCGCACTGTGGCTGAAATCGTTGCTTCTCGCGTAGGGCTCGGGCCAGAAGCCGCTCTTTCCCAGGCTGTGCCGTGCCGTGCCGTAACACTCTGCTCCGGTCCCGCCCGCTCCGCTCCGCTCCGGGCTTTCCGTCCGATCCTCGCTTCCCGCCGGCGCAAGGCCCCGTCCCCGCCCGCAGCCGCGCAGTCGGAGCGGCGCGGCGTTGCCGCGGTTGCCGTGGGTCGCTATGCGCTTTAGGGCTAAGATCGTGGATCTCGCCTGTCTCAACCACTTCAGCCGTGAGTATGCCGTGCCGAGGGCACGGGGTGGCCGCGCCGCGGCTGAGCGGCTCGGGCTGCCTTTCCCGAGGGCGCGGAAGAGGAAGGGCTGCGCTTGCCGGCGGTGTCCGGTCGCCGTGCCGCGGGCGGGCCGGCGTGAAGCTGCGCGCTTTGCCGTGCGGGGGCGCGGCGTTTCTGTGGCGGTTTGGGCTGCAGAGGTTCTGCCCTGCCGCCGCGGTGCACAGCACGGAGCGGCTCTGCTCTTCCCTCCGCCCCGCCAGGTGTAATTAACACGATCGCGAAATTAGCCAAGAGCTGCACCCTGCGTCTGACAGAGAGCAAGCTGTACTTCATCCTGTCTGACAGAGTTGCTAATGGAGGAGTCAGCATGTGGGGCGAGCTGTGCCAGGTGAGCCGGGGAGGTTCGGTGCTTAGGCAGTGAGAAGTAGTGCCCGCGGCCAGGTGTCTTTCACGAAGCGTTCCTTATAAATACGGCCCTTACCAGAGGTGTCTCGGAGCTCTCGTGCCGCTCAAGGCGGCCTGTTTTGCACCGATGCCTTATCGCAGTGCAGGGCTGGGGTTTGTGGCTAATGCCGCTTTTCTTCGGTCGTCCGTTCTAATTAAGGATTCCATGTGTGCTGGCCTGCCCAGAACTGGAAGCAGTAAAGCGTAACTCGCCCTTCTGCCGTGTATTTTGAGGTGCTGGGGGACGATCTGAAGCTAATAGCTTCACCTCTGAAGCAGTGAGTCTCCATCTTCACGCACTGGTTCCTGCAGGTGGTGCTGGGCGCAGGATACCTGCTGTAACCAACTAAGGGCTGTGGAGTCCAACTTGACCCTCCTTTTTTTTTTTTAATTTGCTTTGTTTTCTCAAATTTCAAACCTTGCAGGGGAATTTCTTTGATGAATATCAGATGGAAGGAGTAGCTGTAGATCACAATGAAATATATTTAGAGCTCATGCCTGAGAACCTGTCAAGAGCATTAAAAACAGCCCAGAGTGCAAAGGCAGTGAAGATCAAGTTGACTAACAAACATTCTCCCTGTCTCAGAGTTGCTGTGGAGCTAGTAAGTGCCATAATGCTTTTATTATGTTAAAATTGTTCAAAATTCAGTGTCTTTCTGTAGGTCGAATTGTAGCTCTGGTAGTCTTTGGTATAATTCTAGAAAACGAAATAAAGAAAAATCTTGGCGTTTTTTCCCCTTACTGGCCTTTCCTACCATCAAGGCTGGTAACAGATAATACCAGAATTATATTTTCCAAAAGATAAGAAGGAAGTAGGGGAGGAATGAAAGCCATGTGGCCAAAACATCTTTGTCCAATATCTTTGTCACCTGCTACCTTTCTCCATTTCTTCATTCTCTACATTTTCTGTGGTCTGTTGCCTTCTTATTGAAGGCAGTTTAAGGTTAGCTCATAGGTACTAATGACTCTTAAACTCTTCTGAACTCAAAGTCAGCTTAATAGAGAACCTGTGGAAAAATAGAGAAATGGAACTGGGTATCTGGGGTAGTTGGATCTAGTTTTTCCCAGACTGGAAGTGAAAAATTTGGATTCAGAATTGAACCTGTTTCTTACTTAAAAGATATGCTCTGTCTCTCTCAAGCCATCCTTATCAAGCAGCAGTAGGATTGTGACACATGACATTCCTGTGAAGGTTATTCCCAGAAGACTATGGAATGACTTCAGAGAGCCCAGTGTGCCAGACTTTGATGTAAGCCTCTGTTTTGTATTTCCTATGGAGTGAGAAGGTTTATACTGCTATGGGGTATGCTGGCAGTGGGTTTTGGAGAGGAGAAGGGGCAGAAAAGGGAAAGCTGGAGGTTTGGGGATGTTGCGTCTTGACAAGAGCCCCAAATAAGTAAAAACGGAGCAGATAGTTGTAATTTGCTGCTGCATTATTTGGGATGGGACAGTGGAGAAGCAAAGGACTTGCATAGCTTTGTACAGGAGTGTCTCCAAAACACTAAGGTTTGTGATTACTTCATATGATTTAACTGCTTAGGTACCAAGTAGCCCCAGTAATCTGCTGTCTGGAATTTCTAGCCTACCTGGCTGAGTTACTTGTATGTTTTTCCTCCTGTTTCTTTTATAAATATCCTTTTAATATCCTTTTTAACTTTCAGCAGAACTGCAACAAAAGGTCCTTGTGCAAATTGTGTTCCTGCTTGAAGATATAGTTCTCTGTTACCTCCATAGCTAAAATTATTTCAAATCAGAAGATGTAAGACACAGTAGAAACATGATGCGTTCTGTTATTTCAGATTTACACGGATGTGGTTTCAAAGGTTATCAGCTGTAGTAACTTTGACTATTCAGTTACACAGATGTAGGTTCACATGAGAATCTTACCTGCCCTCTATTTTCAACGTGGCTTTGGGATGGTGTGTCTGAAGCAATTGCTAGAGGGATGGCCTGTTACTGGAATGGGAAAGAGTTCTTTTGTTCTTGGATTGTTTGCTGAATTTAGTTAAGTATCGTGTTCCTTCCACTCAGTGTGTAGCTGAGGTGTCCAAATAAGGATGTTCTTGAAGGGGAAACTAGAACGTTACAGATAAAATACCGTCATGACTATGGTTGGTCTTTTTTGTCTTTCTAGGTCAGTATTTACCTACCAGCACTGAAAACAATGAAGAATATTGTGGAGAGAATGAAGAATATCAGCAATTGTATTGTAAGTTAAGGCGCTTAAGTCTGTGTCCTACAGACCTCTTGGTTGTAACACTTGCTGTTTTCCCTGTTGCCTGATCTGATGCCTCTGTTATATTTTGTCTTTTGTATGGGATGGATTTTGAGTTAAAGGTACCTGAAGATTGTGTAGGGGCTGAAGAGAAGTGACGAAGGGAATGATGGAATTTGTTTTAGGACTGGCAGTCCTAAAACTTGTCCAGGACCTCATAGAACATCCTCTTTTTTTGCACTGAGTTCCAGAAAGAACATGATATTATGTTGCTGCATAATACGTACAAGTCACTCTTTACAGGTGGAAAGAAATTGCAGTCTTTCATGAAGTGTGCTGGACACTTTGTAGTGATTACATTAAAAAGAATGCCCTATTAAGTGAGTCTTTTTTTTATAAATGATCTTTTGGTGAACTTGAGATATGATTTGGAGGAAATCTTTTTAATGGCTCATGGATGTCAGCCTGTGCTTTAGATTCTGACATGGTGAGTTTCTGGAGGCTGGTAAGCCTTTCATTGGAGGAAGCTTTGTGCAGGAGGTCTAAACATTGATTGATTTACTTTTTGTTTGTTTATTTAGTTTCTCCAAAACTGAAAATCACTAAAATTTACTAGCATTGAAGTGAGTAAGCAGCTACAGATCTTTGGAAAGGTTTTGGAACTGTACATGACAATTTTGATAAATGGGGTTGTTTTTTTTTTTTTTTCGTAAATGTGGAGTCCTGAAATTGGGTAGTTCTGTCTTACAGGAGTTGGAAGGGTTGAGAGGTAAATGCTGGCTTTCTGTCAATTTTGAGAATGGCAGTTGTCACTCATCTATTTGTATGACATACTTCAAAATCTTCTCCTTTGTAGTAAGCCTTTTGGAATTTTATTTTTCCTCTCTATATAACTTTCTTCCCCAGTGTCCTCTATGAAAGTGCTTACATGCTACAAAAGCACATTGTGTAACTGCTTTGTTTCCAGAGTTGATAATCTCTTATCACACAGGATAGCTGTATGATGGGACTGATCTTTGGTGTGTAGCAACACTCAGAAGAGGTAGTATATCAACACAGCTCATAACCTCCTTCCTGAGTTCCTAACCTCCTTCTCCGAAGTACATTTATAGTCAAAACTAAGTAAAACTTTGGGAAATGCTTTTGATAGCTGTAAGGGAAGAGGCAGAGTACTCTCACCTTGTACATGCTTTTCTGTCATTAACAAATAAAAATATGAAGTGTCACAATTATTTATGTGAGATGCGCCTTGGTAGTAAATTTGGTCAAGATGAGCGCTGCAAAAACTGCTTTCAGAAGGTCTTTCAAACAGTGATTGGTCATTCCGTGTGCATCTCCCATTCTGTAGGAATTTTTGGTTGTCAGTGAGCATCTGTAGAAGTACTGAGAATTCTTCTGGTCACAGAAATGATGTGCATGGATGTGCATTAGTAGTCCTTTGATTTGTGTAGGATAATATATGGCCTTCTTTTGGTAAGATACCATTTTCAGGATGGAATTTGAAGACTTTGAGCACGTTTCCAGGGTTCCTCGCTTTTCCAAGTCCTGCTTGGAGTTACTGCTCTGGTTCAACTAATGCTTGTTTTTAAGTCTTGGAAAGCAACTGCGGATTAGCTCCTAGTGCATCCAATTTTCTGTATGTGTTGCATCAAGTGTGTATGTGTCTTTCTGTAGGTTGAAAAGCTAGAAGATAATGCAGCAAGTGTTGCACTTCTCCAACTTCAGTCTCTTGTTTCAAAGGACTTTATCTTAGCATGTGGACTTTCCAAAGCCAATACTTACTCTGTAAGTAATGGCGAGTAATTAAATGATTCTCTTCATAGTTTGAGGGAAGTTGGCCTAGGATCGTTCACGTAGCAATGATAAGAAATGTATTCTGTAGCATTCAAATGTCTGAACCAAATTGAAGATGTACAATTGAGCTGTGAGGGCAATGAAGCACTTCTGGAAGCTTGAATAGAACATCGTGTAGTTCTGCAGTGCAAAAGTGACTTGCTTAAAATTGATTGTATTGCAGGTGATTGAAGCAAATTTGAGTGGAGAAATGAACTTAAAAATAGAAACTGATGTAGTATCTGTAACAACGCATTTTAAAGATTTGGGAAATCCTCCCTGGGGTAAGTTTTCCTGTTTCTTCCCTCTTGTGCCTGATCTCATTATTTAAATACTGTCAATGGTACCCGCCTTCTGTTAGTACTTAGAAAATACCATCAAATCCTTTCAAGTCTTCAAATGAAACCTTAGAAAGAAAGCATCCAGTTCTCATATTTGCGGGGCAAATATCTTCCAGTAATTTTGACAACTTGCTGGAATAGTGGGCTTCCACTTTCTTGCAGTGCTGTTGCTGATAAGCAGCCCCTTTGAATATCAACTGCTCTGTAATTATCAGGTGCATCCTTCTAAGTTTTGAAATCTCTTCTGGCTTTTTTAATAAATGTTGTGTTCTTTCAGCATCAGAGGATGGATGTCAAAGCTCTGCTCAAGGCAGAGATCTGCAGAGCATGGCTGAAGCACGCATAGACATCAAGAAGTTGCAGCAGCTGCTTGTAGGACAGCAGGTCAATCCCACAAAAGCCTTGTGCAGTAAGTTGAACTGCCCTGTTTACAAACTCTGTTTAAGGAAGGGATGTTTGCTGTGCTTGTAGTCTTAGGTGAATAATGAATCTTCTGCTTTGTCACCTTGAAACTTCGCTGTTTTACTGCACCTGAGAACTTTTAATGTTTCTGGGGAAGAAAGAAATAATGCTAAAAGCATTTAGCCAGGACCTTTTAAAAGTATCAGTACTCAGACTGAATAATAGAACCATGGGGTATCCTGAGTTGAAAGGAACCCACTAGAATAATCTACACCTGGCTCCACATAAAACTACTTAAAAAATTAAACTCTATGTCTGAGAGTGTTGTCGGAACACTTCTTGAATTACAGCAGGCTTGGTGCCATGACCACTACCCTGAGGAGCCAGTACTTGTGCTCGACCACCTGCAAAGAACCTTTTCCTGACCCTCCTATGATGCTGCTCCGTGCTGTTCCCTTGGGTCCTATTGCTGACACCAAAGGGATCATGAGGAAGCTGTAGGTTGCCATGAGGCCTCCCCTCAGCTGCCTCTTGAACAAAGCAAGTACCCTCGGCTGTCCCTCATGGGTCTTGCTATGTAGATCCTTCACCATCTCTGTTGCCCTAACGTCTTTACTTACAAATGCTTTTAAACCTAGGTGAGTGGAAAAGTTTGTCATTTCTCCCCTCAAAAACAGTTAACTTTTTTTGTCATAGGCATTGCAGGTTAATACCAGACTGACTAATCATAATTGGTTTTGTTTTTTTGAATTGCCTTTGTTTTGAAGTTAAACTGATTTATTTCAGAGCCGAATTGTTTCTGGGAAGCTGTGGTTTATGCTAGAGAAATAGATTTACTGACTTTTTCTTCTCATGTGCTTTCTTACGTCCAGAACCAAATTGATTCTGATACCAAAATGCTTTTTACATAGCAGGTGTTTCTAAGCATTGAAAAGGTGTGTTCCCCTGAAACAGAAGTTGTACAGGGGTTTATATGACATTTGGATTACTCTGCGTGCTTTCCTCCTGGACTTCTGACTTTACAAGAGCATCTATGCACTTATATCTTACAGATGAAGTTATGGGTATAGCATTATATGCTTGTGCTTTACGTATTTTCATTTTGGTATCAGCATTCATAGGCTTCAGTAATCCTTAATAGGCCCTCAAGTACTTTAATATTTCAGGGTTGTATGTCTGGTCATTCTCTTTACTTCAAAGTATGCTTTAAAATGACATCCTATATCAGAAGTGATGTTGTATTCTTATGGTGGCATTCTCAAAAGTATTTGCCATGCTTCAAACTGGATTTGTGTTTTTTTCTCTTTAACAGATATCGTGAGTAAAAGAATTGTCCACTTTATCTTGCTCCATGAAGATGTTTCACTTCAGTATTTTATTCCAGCACTTGCCTGAATGTTTTGGAATCGTAGCCATTTTCCAACTGAGGCCTTTCCCACAAAGTGGGGTAGCAACTTACCTTGGTGTTGTCTGGTTTATAAATATGTTTGTGATTTTCTGTGAGATAGGGGTGAGTGGGAGGAAAGGGGTCACTAGTCTTCTTTTAATAAAATGTAAGATGTAATCCATCAATTGAGGCAAACAAATGCTTTATGCTGTTCTTTTGAAGCAGTTGACACCTGTGCTTGTTGAGTCACTGGATCTGTAGAAATCTCATTCTTCTTAATGGTGCTGCTTGTCTGCTTCCAGAAGGGACAAGGTAGGGTGGTTATTTCTTTGTTAGGAATATTTTTTTGGAATATGTGGGACATTCAGCCTGTGGATATTCAAATTGAACGTTTTTACTCTTTCAGAAAAGAAGACAGTTCTGGGTGTTACGGTGTGGTACAACCAGGCATGCGTTCACTGCACGTGTTTACTGAGCACAGGCAGCTGTTAAGCATGTTTGTTGTTTTTTTTTTAATTAAATAGCTGAGAAGCACTTTGATTAAGTTTCTGACTCTAATGGCAGGAGATCCTGAAAGCAGAAGACTTTCAAGACACGTTGCACCTCCTGGTTATCCAGATGTCTGTATTTGAGATGAACTGCTGAGTTACGCTCCTGTTGTTCACGCTGTGTTTCGGTTAAAGTGCAAGGCCAGTAGGAAGTGGACAGATAAGTAATCCAGAATTGAAGCTTTCTGGAGCAGTTATAGAATTGTTGTTCTTGAGTGGGGAAATAATTCCAATTTGGCATTGTTAGAAATGCTTGGAATCCATAATTTTCCATCAGGCAAAGATATCAGTGAAGCAGGATTTTATCATTCTGTATTACAGTAGCGGCTGCGCGCCCCCTTGTGGCAGGGATGAAAACGCACTGAATCAGTGGAACACCATCGTGCAGCCTTTTCTTCCATCGCATTACGACTCTCCTGTTCCCCTATTGGCTAGGTGCTCCAGGCTCTCAATATACGCAACGTGTTTGCTTATCAATTTTTCCATATAAGGTCTATCACCAAGCTATTGTTTTTAAGATCACTTTGTACTTTTCTATGGGTGCAGGAGGGTGATGTTTCTTGAAGCTGTCATGCCTGTTTCATTGCATGCCAGGCTTTCCTTATTCTGCTCTGTATTTTTTGCCTTATCCCTCGCTACTTACAAAAGCCATGTTTAAGAAAGAAGAAACCCATATCAGGTAGTATCTAAAGGTTAACTAGCCCCAGTTCCTGATTTATGATACCTTTTATGGTGTTCTAGGAAGCATAGATTATTTATTTACATTTATTTAGCAGCCTTTTCCTTTTCAATGAACTTAAACATTCTTTTGTGATAGTTGGTATTGTTCGTGTTTGATCACTGTGGGTGTTGCTCAGACCCTTTGGATTAATTTGCTACCCTGTTCAGGGCATCCTAGCCTCCATTCTGTTCTGCTGCTCAGCATTCTTCTTGTGAAAAACAGCCAAGGCAGGCATTTTAACCTACACAGCTATTTTGTAAGAAAGGTGTAAGTTTGGTAAGGGTCTGTACCTTGGTATTGGAAGTTTCTACTGCAGAAACACAATTCTCACGTCATGCAGCTATAAAAAGAAATCTAAGAGCAGTCTTGCCAAGAGAAGTTATTGATAGTTCTAAAATACTGTGTTGTTGCATACTCTGAGTATCTGAAGAAGAGACGTAATAGGTTTCCCATATATTGTTTTATGATCTGCAAAAAGACCATCTATTCTTAGTTTATGCCCTGGTGAGATGGTGAAATAGGCATTGAGGGATAGGAACAAAGCTGCTATCCTTCTGTGCTCTGTTACTGTGGAAAGCTGCATCACAAGCTTCTTAGATTCCCTGTCAGAAACTTTTCCAGAGATTCCCCTCTTCTTGTAGATGCATGTATTCTTTTTGCTGATGTTTTCCTTTTTGCTGAGAATTTTTTTTTTTTTTTTTTTCATTCTTCTTAGTGAGAAAAGCCCTTCTCCGTACTGAAAGATTTTTATCAGTGCCACTTCTATGCCTCTTTTTGCTTATAAGGCCAAGCGTGCTTCCTGGAAGCTTGTCCCTTAATTCTGATGTATTACATGAGTTCTGCAACTGACTTGTTGTTTTCACTTTTTATGCTAACGCATATTGCCCTTGTATGTTTTAGTTCTTCCTAAGGGTGTGGTTCTGAATTTTGTTATTCTGTTTAAATTTCAGGACATCCTTCAGATGACAGTGTTTATAAAAGATTAGAGAATTAGAAAGTCATCTATTTTCACAGTCATGGAATCACAGAATGGTTAAGGTTTTGGAAGGGACCTCTGGAGGTCGCCTTGTCCAACCCTGTTGCTTGAGCAGGGTTGCCTAGAACAGGTTACGCAGGGCCATGTACATGCAGCTTTTGAAGATAGCCGAAGAGGGAGGCTCCATCACCTCTCTGGGCAACTTCTTAAAGTGCTCCATCATCCACGCAATGAAGAAGTGCTTTCCAGTGGTCGTAGGGAATCTCTTGTGTTTCACTTCTGTGCCCATTGCCTCTTGTCTCATCTCTGGGCACCACTGAAAAGAGCCTGGGTCTGTCTTCTTTACATTCTCCCTTCAGGGCTTTATGTAACATAGAATTGCAGGGGCGGGAAGTGACCTCTAGAGATCATCTGCCAAAACAGGCTCTCTAGGCCAAGTTGCAAGGTAGGCATCCAGGTGTGTCTTGAACATCTCCAGAGGAGAATCCACCACCTCTTGGGCAGCCTGTTCCAGGGCTCTGTCACCATTACTGTGTAGAAATTCTCATGCACATTTGTGCAGAACTTCCTCTGCTTCAGTCTGTGGCCCTTTCCCCTTGTCCTATCAAACACACACTGCTGAAAGGAGTCTGGCCTCATCCCTTTGCCTCCCACACCTTAGGTATTAAGACACTTACCAGATCCCTGAGTCTTCTTTTCTCAAGGCTGAACAGACTCAGGTTACTCAACCTTCCCTCATAAGAGAGGTGCTCCAAGCCCTTTGTGGCCCTCCACTGGACTCTTTCCAGGAGATCCCTGCCTTTTTTTGTACCGGGGAGCCCAGAACTGGACACAGTGCTCCAGATGCTCCTGAACCAGCCCTCCTCAAACAGGGGGAACCTCTCCATTTCCCAGACTCTTTCTTCCCTCCAGGGTCCAGGAGTCCCAAGGGCAAGTCTTTGAACATTCCAAACCATGGGACTTTAACCCACTCCAAACCATAACAGAAAACAGCAATAAGAATACCGACAACACCAGAACAAGATGTGGGGGACTCAAACCTCTATGCCACCTTCACTGTCCGCAGAGGTCTGTCCTCTGCTCATATTACAATATTCCCACAACCTTAGCACCAAATGGCCACCGTGGTGGGACTTAAAGCCACAGTCTTTGGTGGGACACAAAGCCTTATTTAAGTTGAACCCTTTTATCAAGTCGGTGAGGGGACTTGAACCTATATACCAAACCTTGGTGCTATCCAGGCTTTTGCCTGAAATAACTTTTCCAGTGGGGACTTGAACCCTTAAGGTACATTTATGGACCAACCCTGCATGGCTTTTGCCTGTGTTTTACAAGCAGACAGTTCCACGGGACTTAAACCCACAACCCAAGCTATGTAATGATGAAGAATGCCTTTACATTCCCAGGGGCCTTATCTCAGGCACTTTGGTCTGAGGACTGGAAGTTCTCCCTTTGGTGCCAGCTACAAGTCCTGCAATCCCAGAATCCACTGAGGTTCAGAAGCAGTGCTCCATATGTATTGCCAAAACTGCTGCCAAATGAACTTCAGCCCAAACAAAACTCCTTAACACCAGTGTGGTATTAAGAAGCAGGCATTCTTTATTGGATGCACGAGGGATCCTTCCACCTGACGTGCACCCCAACAGAACAAAGCCATAACCTGAATCATGAGAACAGATTTTCTATGTTGAGAGAGCAGCCTTTCACATAGCTTGAGCTGAAGAACAGAAGGCCTGCATAAATGCAAGCTCAAGAATGAAATGTGGAGGCCAAGAAATTTGTTGTCAAGTGAAGATAAAGTGGAATAGATATCCAGTTGTTGAAGGTAAGATGGCAAAACAGGTGTCTCAGCTCAATGTAACAGTGGGAACTGGTTAGGGCAGCCCCCCTTATGAGGGTGGAGATTCACAGTGAGAGTGACTGCTAGCCTTCATCCCACGACAACCAGAGACCCCCACCACATATTTTCAGGAGGGTGGGACAATAATTATTAATTATGTCTCAAAATTTCGGCCTGTTTTCTTGGCATGTTATTAATATGTATGTGCTATGTCTTTAAATGTGTAATCATTTCTCTCTTTGGTGTGCATCTCTCCACCCCCTTCCCTCCCCCTTCCTTCCCCTTTCTTTCTTTTTCTTATCTTCCAAAGTGGATTTATTTCTTCATCTTGACACTGAAAAAAGATCTGTACTAAGCCTCTTTGTGCCTTGACATTTGTTCTGAATTATCCTATAGGCAAAGTAATTTGCCAGTCAGAAGCCTTCAGCAACTACATACACGTAAGAGCTTCCCTCAGGCAGCTGGCATAAGAAAAACATCCCAGAAAAGCTTATTTTCTCCAAATGTCCACTGCTCCCACTCCATCTCATCAAAGATTTTACATGCCTGGAAGTACATAAAACTGAGGCCATTTTGAACCAAGGGAGCACATTCCAGACTCTTATGGCCTTGAGAACATGCAGCTGCAAGCACTTTCTTTTCGTAGGAGCGGGGTCCATCTCAAACATCTATGGTCACAGATGAAGCAGGGCTATATTTCATGGATTTGTCCTCACTCACTTTGAGTAGTCTGCTGAGCATTTGCTACTCAGAAGCTGGTATTCAGGCTGAATGAACTGGCCCCCTTTTCTACAAGATTTTTCTATAGGAAGGCCTTGTGGGATCAGCCTCACAGCAGAGGCTTGCAACAGGAGAGGCAGTAGAGCAGCACAAGCCCTGACCAGAAGCACAAGGAGTGAGAGGGAGCCCCAGGCTCCCCTCAAGCACGAGCCATCTCTTCCTCAGGGAGGCAGTTCTGACACTGTGGATGGAGCTGGGAGGGATGATGGCCAGAGCCCCATGCATACCAAGAGCGTTCCCAGAGAGCAGGGCAAACAAACAGGGTGTGCTGTGTCAGAAGGGCATGGTGTGGCGGTTTGTGCAGCAGTTTGTGCAGACAGGGCAAGCAGAGAGGGCAGAATATTGCTCCCCACTTTAGGAGATGGTCTCACTAGCTGCTTCCCACACTACAAATCTAGCCATGGTCTCAGCTACACAGAAAGCTCTTGCCAAAAATACTGCTGCAATCTAGGCTGAAAATGTAGACATTCAGATCTCCAGCTGCAGGGAGTACCTGAGCCTCTTGCTGACATTGGAAGGTGGCGGAAGTGTGAGCAGTAGGATGATCAGCATGGTGGCAGGGCTCAAGGAAGGGGTGGAAAGATTAAGGACTATCGGAGAGCATGGGCAGGAGATAGACAGGTGGAGCAGCAGCCCTCTTAGGGAGGGGACCTGAGAGATGGAGAGGAA